TGTTTTATCATTATGGCCAGTGCACGCACCTCTAGTAGCACTATATATAGACCCTTCAGTAACCCCCATGGGGAAAGGAGTGAAGTATGGTATACTAGACCCAGAAGGGACCCCCTTCCTGCTACAGTCCTATCACAGGACTACTCTCTTGCATGCATCCTACCTGATGGACAAGATTTGCCTATGTTGGTGTCATTAAAACATGTGTCTTATTGCCCCTAAGTTCTTTGTGGGTTGGGAACCTCTTCTGGCTTGAGTATTATTATAATTTTTGTTTCCTGTATCAAAATCTTGTTGTATCTTAATTTTTGTTATTATCTCTAAGTTGTTATTAGCCTCTGTTGCTGTTGTGGAATCTGGTTACAGTTCTCCAGGTTTCTCGCACAGGGACCATTTCAGAAGATTGAGAGCATGTAGATTGTAAGGCGAGAATCCTGGAGGTGTGGAATGTAGGGAAGTTGGGGTTCCTATGTCCGGGACCCTCAGTGAACTTAAATCACTTGATGATATAACTGGCCTGCTGCTAGGCTACCAGTTCCACACCTGTAGGCAATAAGCTATTATTGCCCTACATAGAGAGCTCAGCCCAGTGCTCTGTGCGGAGGCAGAGACGCTAGTGCTAAACCTACTGCCAGGAGAACAAGCCAGGTAATAATCCCTTTCACTCCAAGAACATTCTATTATCATTTCTTTGGTCACACTGAATCCATAGTGAACTTGCCCAGGGCTGAAATCCATTGGCAAGACAATGTAAGAGCAAATGGCATCTTGCCTTGGGGTTTAAGCCCCGGGCAAGTTCACTCTGGATTTACTGAGACTGAGAAATGATAATGAAATGTTCTTGGGGTAAAAGGGTTTATGTTCAGCTTTATTCTCCCAGCAATGTTCTTGGGGTAAAATGGTTTATGTTCAGCTTTATTCTCCCAGCAGTATAGGTTAAGCACTAGAATCATGTCTGCATCCAGCAGTCTGCAGATCCATAACCCACCTCTATCTCTGCTGCCATCCAGAGCACAGGGCTCTTTATATAGTGACTCAGTCAATCATAGCTCATTGCCTATGTGTGTAGAAGCAGTGGCCTAGCAGTAGGCCAATTGCATCATCAAGTAGTTCAGGGTCAGGTGAGGATCCTGGCCACAGGAACTTACATTTTTCTCAGAAGCTTTATAAAGGCTGATGATATCTGCCTCACTCACTGTTGTCTTCCTAGGAACAAGCGCCAGGCCTGGCACACAGAAAATTCAACTATTTGAATAAAATGAATGAGTCACAGAATGCATTTTCTTTTAGAGTTATTTATTCAAAGACAGGTAACAATGTAACAGGATTCTAGTAACACTGTAGTCAAGAAATACATTCAACAGTACTAAAATGATATAAAATACATAATTTCACTAAGGTGCAATTAAAATACTTGAAATGGCACACATCTGTGTATTTCAATTCAGTATACTAGCTTTCTACTTTTTTAAAGACTAGCCTACTTTAATCTTTAAGAAACCCAAAGTATTTTCTCCTTATTTTTTTAGCCTTTCTAAGTGCATGTATTTTAAGTGTATTGTATAATGACCATGGATTTATGTATCTCCTTTTAGGAAGATACTCTGGGGTGGTATGACCAGCACAGAGAATGGTGGGAGGATTATTATGTTCCTTACTCTTCACATAACTGTTCAACTAGTCTATAATTTATTAGCTTCTCTAGTAGGCTTTTCTACTTGGTTTCCACTGATCTTGTGAGCAACTGACTAGTGAAGCCTAGATTCTTTTCACTTGGAAGCTTTTCGAGTTAGAGACTGTCCATATGAAACTGGTACCTTCAATTTACTATATTCTGGAATTGCCCATTTATCTTATTTCTCCAAACTTCACCATCTGCAGCTGTAAACTGGGATAACATCCTCATCTTGCAAGAGATGTTTATAATGAATGTAACATACTCAACATACAATAAATATTATATGAATAATATTCTAAAGCAAACTGTTTGTTCCTGGTAAATTTTTACCCTAGTCATTTCCAGACAGTGTTCTAACTTGTCAAAGACTTCTAGAATCTTAATTCTATCACCTGTGAATTTCTCATAGGTTTATTATCCACAAATTTGGTAATCTTTTTAAAGCCATTAATGAGACTGCTTGCATATGACAGGAGCTTTATAGCATACCATTCAAGTTGAATAGTGGATTAATAATATGCAAAGCTCTTTAGATACATCAATACCTAAACCCTTCCTCCTACAACAAACATACAGATATGCTGAATAAGAAATATTCCTTTAAATGCACAGCAGAACTTACAAGGAAGTAAGGGAAAATCCTAAGGACCAAATATGAAGGGAACTGAAAATCAGAGAAGTAAATGTGTGAGCTGACATTCTAGCTTTCCTGGCATAATTTGCCAAACGCATTAACTTGTAAATTTCAGCTTTTAACATCTGTGAAGGGACTGAAGATGGACATGCAAAAAGCAGCAGGCATGCATTAAATGCACTTTCCCCTCTGCCCACCATAAAGGTGGGACATACGGAGGCTCACACCCTTGGTGAAAAGGGAGCCCATACAATATTCTGTCTGCCAGTTCAGGGAGGTGATGGCCAAGAGGGTCTGTCTTGGCCTGGAATTTTCTCTTGGTAATTTATAATTCTCTTGATGTCTGTAAACTCTGAAGCCAAGAAATTAAAGAGTGGCCCTCTGTCAGTGAAAGCCCTGTGAATATGACATAAGCAGACACAGAATTCATTTGGATGGAATAATTCTTAAACCAGGTCACTCAAGATTCCCAAAGAGAAAGCCACATTGAAAATAAGCTCACCTTTTAAAATTACAAAACACATGGATAAACAGTCCACCAAATATAAGAATCAACAAGCAACAGGATTTGATTTGGGCAAACTATGAAATAAGGATATTTAAAATCATTAGTGATATAAAAAGGAATTGAAAAGTTAAAAAAAACTAGACATCATGGATCAAATAGGCAGATCTGAAAAATGATAGATAGCTAGAAATGAAAAATAATTTTTAAAATTAGAAACTAAGTGAATAGTTTAAAAAAGAGATAATGTACAGCTAACAAGAGAATTCATGAACTAGAAGACAGATATGAAGGCATCACAGAAAGATAAAGTAATGGAAAACATAGGAGAGCTTAAAAGATAGGATAGAATGGGAAGGTACAATATACTAAAAAAAAAAACAGTAACTATGCTGTATATTTGAAATTTGTACTCTTTTCAAATGAGAGCAAAGTTCAACCACCCATTTCTTACTTTGCTGCTGGGATGAACATTTTCCTAAAGATGGAGGAGAAATTATGTTCCCTAATATACAAGTGAACATAATACACAAGTTAATTATTCAGTAACAGTGGGTGCTCTTGGTACTGAAAATCCAACATACATTTTTTAAAAATAAAAGTGATTTTATAAGAAAAACTTAAAATATGATCAAGATTAATTATTTCAAAAATGCAAGGACAGTTCAATAGCTCAATTTTACTAATTTGGAAAGAATATACATATTTATCAAAATAGATGCAGGAAGTGCATATGAAAAAAATTCAACACTACTCTATAGTTATTTAAAAAATACAAACCCATGGAAAATATGGAACAGCCAAACATATTTATTTCTTAAGTACTAATTGTTTTCAACATTTTTTCTTATTTTTAATGTACCTTATATATATATATACATAGATGGTTATAATTTTAAAGTTTTTTATTCCTTTTATAAATTAATATCAAATAATTCATCATTCATATGATGCACTTTAATTAAAAGCCACATCAAAACTAGCAGGTATTTGTTTGTTCTAATCAATACCAAAGGTAATCCCGTCAGTGATGTTCCTGCACCTCTGCTGCCACCATTTTCAGCTAAAACATGTCAGTGATTCTACTGAAAACAATACAAGAAAAACCTCAGCCTAGAAGTAGAGCATGAATGACAGTTATTTCTGAAGTATGAGAAAAGAGATGTTCCTTGAGACTATCAAAGTATCTTTAGGGGACAGAGGAAAGTATGAAACATTTTTGTAAAAAGACATAGTAGTTCACTTAGTTAAATATTAATTAATACCTATTCAGAGTATGCCAGTGGGTTAAAAAGGAAGGCCAAAATGTAATCTCTAGAGGTTGAATTCAAGGGTAATTCATATGCTGAATATCACACCCAAGCTTTCCATCCTGGGAAAAGTCGGCTGAGATTTTTGGGGTCCATGGCCTGTTGTATGAGCAAATTCACCTGTCCACCCACACTGAGCACAGTTCCTTCCTCTACACCTTTCAGTTTCTCTTGCAGTCTCATCAGGACACGCTCAGCTACCTTGTTAAAACTCTGGTCAGTATCACTAATGAAAAAAACACAAAGGGTTTATGAGGTGTAACAGTTTGAAGGGTCTGTGGAATAGGAAAATCTGAACTGACAGGAGATCCTTCCTAAAATACTGCTCACCTGAGATTTCGTTTGCATTCTTGGTCATTTGCATTCAGAGTGGATTGGAGCTCAGTTTCATCTTCTGACCTCTGCTGTAAATACAAAGCTTTCAAAGGATTCATGGTCCAGTCAAAGAGAGGATCATACAGAAGGACCTAAAGAGAATATATGTATTAGAAGAACACTGTGCATTTTGATGATGTACTTAGAAACAGAAAACCAGTATTATAAAAATAACAGAGGCCAACACATGGTAGGCACTTTGTTTCCACTGCAAGCACCTCATGCTTCTTCACGGAGGGACCTATACTAGCATTAGAGCTCTGGGCCTCCTATTCCACTCTGATTTCACTCTTTCTCCAAGGGTGGTGGTGGCGACATCCCTTGACCCTTGTGTCCTGACTGAGTGAAACCGATTTATTAGAAGGAGGTAAGCACTGTCACATTCTTTCCTTCTCTTTTGCCTCTTGCTCAGTGTGGTCCTGGATAAGGGCATCAGCTCTGCAGGCCCCCATTCTCCCTCAGATGCGCTGCACCCAGGGATACATTAGCTGTTGGAGCCAGACGGTACTAGCAAGCGTATTTGGACCTCACTCTTAAGCGATGTTCTGCAACAGTTTTATCAGTAATAAACCTATCAGTAATAAACCTCCACCTTATTCCTATGTCCCTTTCTTCTTCTCTCAGTTAGTTCAAAATCTGGGTGGAGAAAAAAAGGATATAATTGACCGAAAGCTCCTTCTAAGGAGCTCCGCCCAAGGTCTAGGGTGATGGCTGGCATCTTCAGATATAAATATGTGGAGGATGATTTGAATACCAACATAACCGGCAGGACCAGAACAAGTGACCTTAGGTCTTAAATTTTACTAAGTGAGGTCATGAGGGATTTCTGACTTTGCCAATTTAGAAAAGCTAACTGTCCCTGGTCTTTATAAGCAAAGAATTTTTTTTTTTTTAATATACCTTAACAAATGCTTACCATACAGGTCTTACTAATAAATGAAGACAATTTCAAGGATGGGTGATTCTGCAGGATATTCTAGTGTTAAAAAGATGTACCACATTATTTGTTTCTGCCTTTATAGCATTTCTCAGTAGGTCTGCAGGCTGGGACTATAAAACACCTTTAGCATTACATGTTCAATTCCAGGACACATACTCAATGAGTAACCCTAAAAATCTGATATCTTGCCCCACGTCTTCTATAGCAGGGTGGTGACTGCTATAGGAAAACATGGTCGCATAGGTAGAACTAACTGGTAAGCACTGGGAATCTGCTTGACTTCCTTCCCTTTCTGCCGTGATCAAGAGGCAGTGGCTGCAATTAAGCATGTGTGTTCTGCAGGCCCAAAGCACCACGGGGGAGGTGCTGAGGAGCACCCACACCAGGCCTCAGTCCAAAGCCATGTTCCTCTACTAACAGTGTTGACACTGACCCACATCTGTCTGACTGGCTCTGAACCTGGGCAAAGGAAGAGGAGATATAACTTATTGATTTCTCTTAAAACCCCAATGGAAACCATTCTGAAAACAGTATCATATGAAATCCAAGTTGTCAAAGAGCTAACTGAGGTACTGAAGACTAGAGATTCCTTATAATGCGGTAACATAGCAAGAAACATAAGGGGCCTGGAGACATTTCTAGATCAGTATTTACTGACAGGTGTGATGTCCCCACTGCTGCCCAGCATTATCCCTGTACCTTACAATGAAGCACTGATCCCCAAATCGGTGACTTCCTAATGAGACACAGTCTATCAGGTAGAGAAATAGGTTTCGTTATGATACATGTTACCTCCACAATGGTTAACAGGGTTTCCTGAGAGCTTCTCATGACCTCCATAGTTTTCTCACAGCACCTACAAACACATTGTAAATATGGATTTTGTTACACACCAATATTCTCAACATATCTTTAAATGTAATATTTAGGTATATGTATGCTGAGACTATTCTTGCTCATTTCCAAATTAATATTTCAAACAGCACAGTACTTGATAGTGGGTTTTCAGTGGTTTCTGAAATATATATGTGAATATAAGCTTAGCATTTGTAAGAGTAACACAATACGACTTAGAAACACTTCTTTCAATTGTTAATTTTTGTGATAATTATTAGTTCACTGTAAGTAGAACCTGCCCCATTAAAAACTGAAGACATAGGCCTGTGCTGGGAAATATACAGGGCACTGCACAGGTCCTTTGGTAGGAAGTGGCCCTAGATCGTAAGCCCCTTCAGGACAGTTAGATCCCACACCACAATGAGTGCCCAACAGGCATTCTGCACAAGAAACACAGTGAGCTGGGACAGAGTGTTAAGGGTCAAGGCAGCTGCTTCCAGATCAGGAAGGACAATATGTATGTTATACTGGGTGAGGTTCCAGGTGGGCTGATGGGAGAGGAACCTATTACTGTTCTGCCCAGGGTCTTTTCCTTTGAACTGGTAAAGCACTGGGATATAATTCTAGCAATGAATTCTATAATCTATAGTTATCAATAATCTAAATAATTCGGACACCAAAAATCATCGGCCTTACATCACCTTCTATCACTTACCTTCTGAAGACACCTTCAACACCAGTAATGCCCATCCCATCCACGATATCTCTGGTGAGCCTAAAAGGAACTGTTTCAGGAGTAGGAAGGATTTTACCCTGTTCAAAAGCGACTCCTAAAGTAAATAATACAGCAGGGTTAGGAGTTTCTACAGCTAACTCTCCTCCCAACTGGCATGAGACCTTGGGAGAGGCCCCAAATAATTTGTCACCTAAATTCTATCAGTACTAGACAACACAGTAGTTTATTCCATTTTTGTTCTGCCTTAGTCTAGGAGTTCCACCTCAAATTAAACAAAGCCCAACTACTTCTTGACATAGAGAAATCCAGATTAAAGGATGATTTTTAAAAATTAAGTACTGTTGGATAATTTGTAATCACAATATAGGTAGATCACAGGGAAGGCAGTACAGGACAGAGAAGACAAGTAATGACTCTATAGCATCTTACTACACTGATGGACAGTGACTGAAATGGGGGTGGTGAGGACTTGATAACATGGGTGAATGCTGAAACCACAATGTAGTTCATGTGAAAACTTCATACGATTATATATCAATGATACTTTAAAAAAATAGAAAATAAAGTGGTGTTGGCTAAAATTTTAAATGCAGGAGGTACATATATATATAACTTAAGATTACTTAAATATACAGGTATATCATAGTTACATTTTTTTAAATTTTATTAAATGAACTTTGAGACAACTACACACTCACATGTAGTCAACAAGATATACAAAGATCCTCCCATATACCCTTATCTACTTTACCCCATTGGTAATCTTGCAAAATCATAGTACAATATTACAGCCAGGATATTGACACTGATGCCATCAAGACAGAGAATATTTTCATTACTGCAAGGATCCCTCTGTTGCCCTTTTGCAGTCACACCCACTTCCCTCCTGTGACCTACCCCTGCACCCCGATTCTTCTAGCAATCACTAATCCATTCTTTTTCTTTTTTTTTTAATCCATTCTTTTTTAAAACTGAATTAATTCTGGGGAAAACCATATAATAAACCTGATCTTCCCTGTTCAAACGGAATTTCAATTATACTCTCTCAGCAAACTACTTATATGGATAACGCTGCAGATTATCTATCTATCTATCTATCTATCTATCTATCTATCTATCTATCTATCTATTTATTTATTATGGTACCATTAATATACAATCACATGAGCAACATTATGGTTACTGAACTCCCCCCATTATCAACTCCCCACCACATACCCCATCAGTCACTGCCATCAGCATAGTAAGGTACTATAGTCACTACTTGTCTTCACAGTGCTATACTGCCTTCCCTGTGAACCACCTACATTATGTGTGCTAACCTTAATGCCCCTTAATCTCCTTATCCCACCCTTCCCCCCAACACTACCCAGTCCCTTTCCCTTCTTGGAGTCTGTGAGTCTGCTGCTATTTTGTTCCTTCAGTTTTGCTTTGTTCTTATACTCCACGGATGAGTGAAATCATTTGGTACTCAGCTTTCTCCACTGGGCTTATTTCACTGTGTATCATACCCCTTAGCTCCATCCATGTTGTTGCAAATGGTAGGGTTTGTTTTTTTCTTATGGCTGAATAATATTCCATTGTGTATAAGTACCACATATTTTTTATCCATTCATCTACTGATGAACACTTAGACTGCTTCCATAGCTTGGCTATTGTAAATAGTGCTACGATAAACATAAGGGAGCTTATGTTTTTTTTGATTTGGGATCTTGTATTCTTAAGGTAAAATCCTAGGAGTGGAATTCCTGGGTCAAATGGTATTCCTATTTTTAGTTTTTTGAGGAACCTCCATACTGCTTTCCACAATGGTTGAACTAATTCCCATTCCTACCAGCAGTGTAAAAGGCTTCCTCTTTCTCCACATCCTCACCAGCATTTGTTGTTGTCTTTTGGATGTTGACCATCCTGACTGGTGTGAGGTGATATCTCACTGTGGTTTTAATCTGCATTTCTGTGATGATTAGTGAAGTGGAGCATCTTTTCATGTGTCTGTTGGTCACCTGAATTTCTTCATTGGTGAATTGTCTGTTCATGTTCTCCACCCATTTTTCAATTGGCTTATTTGCTTTTTGTTTGTTCAGGTGCATGAGCTCTTTATGTAATTTGTATGTCAACCCCTTATCGGATCTGTCATTTATGAATATATTCTCCCATACTGTAGGATACCTTCTTGTTCTACTGATGGTGTCCTTTGCTGTACAGAAGCTTTTTAGTTTGACATAGTCCCACTTGTTCATTTTTGCTTTTGTTTCCCTTGCCCGGGGAGATATGTTCATGAAAAAGTTGCTCATGTTTTTATAGAGGTTTGCCTCTTTTCTTCTTTGCCTGTTTTCTTCTATGAGTTTTATGGTTTCATGACTTACATTCAGGTCTTTGATCCATTTCGACTTTACTTTTGTGTAGGAGTTAGGCAGTAATCCAGTTTCATCCTCTTACATGTAGCTCTCCAGTTTTGCCAACACCAGTTGTTAAAGAGGCTGTCATTTCCCCATTGTATGTCCATGGCTCCTTTATTGTATATTAATTGACCATATATATGCTTGGGTTAATATCTGGACTCTCTATTCTGTTCCATTGATCTACGGGTATTTTTTTGTGTCAGTACCAAATTCTCTTGATTACTATGGCTTTTAGTAGAGCTTGAAGTTGAGAAGCATAATCCCCCCTGCTTTATTCTTCCTTCCCAGGATTGCTTTGGTTATTTGGGGTCTTTTGTGATTCCATATGAATTTTAGAACTGATTGCTCTAGTTCGTTGAAGAATGCTGTATTTTGATAGGGATTGCAGTGAATCTGTAGATTGCTTTAGGCAGGATGTCCATTTTGACAATATTAATTCTTCCTACCAAAAAGCATGGATGAATTTCCATCTTTTTTTGTCCTCCTTAATTGCTCTCAAGTGTCTTGTAGTTTTCAGGGTATAGGTCTTTCACCTCCTTGGTTAGGTTTATTCCTAGGTATTTCATTCTTTTTGATGCAATTGTGAATGGAATTATTTTCCTGATTTCCCTTTCAGCTAGTTCATCATTAGTGTATAGGAATGCAACAGATTTGTGTATTAATTTTGTACCCTGCAACTTTGCTGAATTCAGTTATTAGTTCTAGTAATTTTGGAGTGGATTCTTTAGGGATTTTTATACAATATCATGTCATCTGCAAACAGTAATAGTTTGACTTCTTCCTTACCAATATGGATGCCTTTTATTATCTTTGTGTTGTCTGATTGCCGTGGCTAGGAGCTCCAGTACTGTGTTGAATAAAAGCAGGGAGAGTGAGCATTCTTGTCTTGTTCCCGGTATTAGAGGAAAAGCTTTCAGCTTTTCACTGTTAAGTATGATGTTGGCTGTGGGCTTATCATATATGGCCTTTATTATTTTGAGGTAATTGCCCTCTCTACCCATTTTGTTGAGAGTTTTTATCATGAGTAGGTGTTGCATTCTGTCAAATGCTTTTTCAGCATCTATGGAGATGATCATATGGTTTTTGTCTTTCTTTTTATTGATATAGTGAATGATGTTGATGGATTTTCGAGTAGTGTACCATCCTTGCATCCCTGGGATGAATCGCACTTGGTCATGATGTATGATCCTCTTGATGTACTTTTGAATTTGGTTTGCTAATATTTTGTTGAGTATTTTTGCATTTATGTTCATCTGGGATATTGGTCTGTAGTTTTCTGTGGTATCTTTGACTGATTTTGGTAATACAGTGATGCTGGCTTCATAGTGAGTTTGGAAATATTCCCTCCTCTTCTATTTTTTGGGTAAATTTAAGGAGAATGGGTATTATGTCTTTTCTAAATGTCTATGCTATAGCATTCATAATCCCCTAAAACTGCACATTCTTAGAAATCTTAAATTCCACATCCTAATAAAAACCTCTTCTTCTACTCCCTTATTCTTATTAAACAGTCTTTAAACTCATTGAGATTGCTAGTCTCTTAACCTCTCTTCCTTCCCTGCTCAGCTCAGGGAATAGATTGCAAGGGTGGTTACTCACACTAGCACCTCAGATTCCCTTGGCCCCTTGCCCTGCACACATACCATTTCAACTCCAGGGATGCTGGAGGAAAGCATACAGTGAATGACACTATAATTTAGGATTATCACCTAAGAAAAGTGCCCCATCAACTGCCTGGCATGTCTTTATTTACTCCTTTTTAGTCAGCTGTTGGTCTCATTTCCATGGTGCCTGTTTTAGAATTTTATTGCTCTCTTAAGCTAATTCGTTCAGGTAAGAACCTTCCCTCCAGTTCTTAGTAAATAAACATGCTTTCTATGCTTCAGAGAAAAGAGGAGCAAATATAATTTACCTCCAATTCTTTTCCCTTTAGGGTAAGACTTATTAGTGCTCATCCTTTCCTCTCAGCGGAAAAGCCAACGTGCCTCCAAAGTAAAGCCACTCTACCCTCTCCCCCTTTATGACCTCCCCTGCTATTTCAATTTTCCCTCTCCTGAATCTTTTCAATATCTAACATGTTCACATCTGTCCCATCTTAGAAAAGCAAATGAACAACAACCCTCAAAACAAACAAAAAAACAAAAAGGACCAAATGTGTCTCATCTTTAATCAAATTTCTCTCCTACCCTTTACTTCACATCTACATTCCTTACAGATCAATTCCATGTTCTGAGCCTGCACATCCTCACCTTTCACTCGACACTCTGCTTTTGCACAATCTCTCTTCTTTCAGTCTATCCAAAGCTTACTTCTCAGGCCACTTAAGACTGATTATATTCACAGGCCTGTTTGCAGAATCCCCTTATCTGACCATTCTGTATCAGACACTCTGAGCGCTTCTTCCCTCAGCACAGTTTCCCTCCCTTGGTTTCCAAGTCCACAACTTGTTGGTGAGTTTTTTTCCAATTCAGTCTTTTCAATGCTGATATAAATGATACAATTCTTTCAGATTGTATTCTTAGTCCTCTTTATCAAGGATGATGTGTAAGATCAGAACTCCTCCAGTCCAATGACTTGAGGTGAGGGTTCCACATCTGTCATTGTGCTCAACCTCCTTGCTTTCCTGTAATTAAACTGCCCACTCCACCAGGAAGTCTCATTAATACCTCAAAACAATGTGTAAAACTAAACTCAATGCTTTCTTATTCTTTACAAAACCTGCTAGGGACTTCAGTTCCCTTGAAGTTCCCTTCTCCCACTCCTTCCATATCCAGTATCACTGGTGCAGGTCACTATGAAAATGTCCCCCAGATCCAACCTCCTAGTCTCTACAAGTTCAGTCCAAAACTTCATCTCTTTTCTAAATTATTATAATGATAATAATAGTAATAATAATAGATTGTCTTCCTGTTGCTAATACTGCTCTCCAAATGATCTTCCTAATAATCAAATATGATCATATCCTACTTAAATATACCTTAATTTACTTCCCATTGTTCAACAGATTAAAGTCGAAATTCTAAGGCTGGCTTTTTACAGACTAGTACCAGTCTCTTCTCTCAAGCTCAACTGCAGGTAAACTCCAGCCGTGTTTTGTCTCCCCATCCCTAAAACATGCTACATCTTCCTCATTCCTCCTCTCACATCTGTTCTGCTGTCTATTTAGCCTTCCTTCCCTTCTCTCTGACCTGATTTAAATGTCCCCTCTTCTAGTAAGTTTCAGTCCTACCCCAGGCAGAGCCGGCTGTTCCATCCAGCATCACTCACTGTGCTTATGCTCTTCTCTTAAACAGTATTCATTATTTTGCTGTATGCTCCTTATCCTTCATGTAATGTCCTGGTAGGCAGACATTCTTGGTGGCCACATATTTATTAAACAGAATAAAGTTGCACATCTTTTATTACTTACCTAAATCTATATGCACAAGTTCTGCAGACTGCTCATTTATCAAGATATTCTGCACATGTCTATCACCAAGTCCAAGTATGTAACCAACTGGAAAAAAAACACCTCAAATCACTGATGTCATCTATTTCTGTAACACATTTAGCCATAATTCAACTAATACCATGGAATCAGTATTATTTTTAAGTAGCTTAGGCTTTTTAGTCTACTTAATGGAAATTACATATGTAACTGGTCATTTTGAGTTTAAGTCAAATTTTGACAGCTATTTTCATTTATACTGCACTTTACAAATCCGAGATGATTTGTTAAAACAAGTTTTGTCTTCACAAAGAAGCACACATTTAAAAATATCAGTACTGGAAAACTAGTGTGGTTAAAGTTGACACCCATTATTTACCAGGGCAAAGCAGTTCATTATATGCGCTCAAATATTTACTGAGTACTTTTAAATTGAGAAGCCTATGGGCAAATTCATTCTTCATCAAAACTTTCTCCCTCTTGATGAACTACATTTAACACCAATTAATCACTGATTCATTTCATCAGGTACATATTCAGGAAAAACTACATTTCTGTTTTTAAGATGGAACATGCTTAAAATGCTTTTAACCTAATGAAAGAAAGCCACAATATCCAGAAAAAACACTAGATAGGGAGTCAGGATGCCTGGGTGCCTGGCTAGCTCTGTCATTAGGAGCTTACTTTCTTGCTTATAAACTAAATTTGTTGAATCAGATTAGTGATTTTTCAATGTAGAAAAGAAGAGGGATTCATAATTATCTAGAACTTTTTCAAAACATACATCCTCCGCCTTCTTGGGGTATGTTATTCTAGTGATAGAGGAATGGTCTTTAGTTAAAAAGCAATAGATTAAAAGATCTCTGATATTCCTGTCAGTTCTCATACTTTAGGATTTTGTTAACTGCCCTTTTTTAATATCTTAGAAAATAAGAAAAAAGTCAAAATACATGTACACTGCATATTTAAATATACATCATGATTTCTATTTGGAAAACAAAATTTTATTAAACAGAATCAATTATTGGATGATAATATTATGGTATTGTAGAGGTTCTATACAAAAGAACAATATTTACACGATATGATTTATTGTAGTTATTATGGGTTTTATTATATCTCAAAGAAAATCTCAGAAAATAATATACTGAGGGGAGAAAAAAATAAGTCACAGTCACTATTTAACAAAGAAGAATAACCAATATTATTTCCCTACCTTGAGATAGGAGAATTCTCTCCTGGCAAAGCTAAGAAGAGCTGTTAGAAGCTAAGAATGAAAATGAACAAGATATACAATAATCTAATGATGAAGATGGTTTGAATGACAAGTACCATCACCATCAACATTTCCTTGCAACTCAGAATGTACGAAGTGCTGAATCCACCAAAATGTTTTAAGAATATTACCAATAGAAGAAGTAGCCACACTGCGTGTATAAGCCAATCGTTTCTCAAACCAAATGGCTGGGTCCAAGAATTTTTCCATGCAGAAGTAACGGAAAACTGGTTGAAAATTTTCGCAAACATTCATGAAAGTTTCATGTTTCTCTTTAAAAGACTTCTCTCGCACATCCTTTGAAAAGATTAGATATAAGATTATTTTTTCAATATATGTTTAACTTAACTAAGGTCTCCTTAACTCAGAGTTTCTATATGGAAAAGAGTATGACAGACAATAGAGGCAATAAAAAGATGAACAAGAAGTAATAGTCTGGTCAGAAAGCAATTAATAACAAGTTATAATCCCTTTAGGGTTTGTGTGTTTATCTTAGAGGAAAGAGCCACACCACTAGTGACTGTTACTTGTTTGAATTCAATTCTAATCTGAATGATTCTGTAATCTATGTGGAAGTAAACATAAAAATGCCAAAGGTAGCTCCAGATGGTCTTAATTTACTTCCCATTGTTCAACAGATTAAAGTCGAAACTCTATCACAGAATTAGGGATACAACAGGAAAATCAGGAAAGGAGGAAAAATGGAATCACCACTGGCAAAACAGCCAACACATCTCACAGCTGTCCTCCAGCATCTCACTATACATGTCACACTGCCTGAAGCACAGTTTCTCTACTTCAAAGGATCAACACCCATCTATATGCTGATGACTTCCAAATCTGTATCTTTGGCCCAGGTACTTTATTAAGTTACTGCTTTTCCAAGTGCCCACTCAGCATCTTCACTTTAATCACTCCCAATTTCAAACTCATTCATCACCTCCTCATTTTCAGCAACTTCAACAACTTCCTTTATTTTTTGCCACAGTAAACAGCCTCTCCATGCACCCAATCACAGAAGCCAGAAAAGTGGGAGGCCCTGATTACTCTTTTTACCTAATCCTACTTCTAGTCAGCAACCACATTCTATTAGTTCTGCTTCTTAATATTTCTTACATGCATTGCCTATTCTCCAATCCTACTTGTTATCAGACTTAGTGCAGACCTCCCATCTAAGACCTCTAGACAGCTTTTTCAAAAATATAACCCCTAATTCTCAACAAAATGGGTATAAAGGGCAAGTACCTCAACATAATAAAGGCCACATATGACAAACCCACAAACAACAACATACTTAACAGTGAAAAGCTAATAGCTTTTCCTTTAAGATCAGAACAAGACAAGGATGCCCACTTTCCCCACTTTTATTCAACATAGTTCTGGAGGTCCTAGCCATGGCAATCAGATAACACAAAAAATAAAAGGCATCCAGATTGGTAGGGAAGAAGTTAAACTGTCACTGTTTGCAGATGACATGATATTGTACATAAAAAACCCTAAAGAATCCACATAAAAAATACTAGAACTAATATCTGAATTCAGCAAAGCTGCAGGATACAAAATTGATACACAGAAATGTTGCCTTCCTATATACTAACGATGAACTAGCAGAAAGAGAAATCAGGAAAACAGTTCCATTCACAATTGCATCAAAAAGAATGAAATACCTAGGAATAAACCTAACCAAGGAAATGAAAGACCTACACCCTGAAAACTACAAGACACTCATGAGAGAATTAAAGAACATACCAAAAAATGTAAATACATCCCGTGCTCTTGGGTAGGAAGAATATAGTCAAAATGGACATCCTGCCTAAAGCAATCTACAGATTAAATGTGATCCCTATTAAAATATCAACAGCATTCTTCAACGAACTAGAGCAATCAGTTCTAAAATTCATATGGAACCACAAAAGACCCTGAATAGCCAAGGCAATCCTGAGAAGGAAGAATAAAGCAGGGGGGATTATGGACCGCAACTTCAAGCTCTACTACAAAACCACAGTAATCAAGACAATTTGGTACTGGCACAAGACCCATAGATCAATGGAACAGAATAGAGAGCCCAGATTAATATACGATAAAGGAGCCATGGACATACAATGGGGAAATGACAGCCTCTTCAATAGCTGGTGTTGGCAAAACTGGACAGCTACATGTAAGAGAATGAAACTGGATCACTAACTCAATACACAAAAGTAAACTCAAAATGGATCAAAGACCAGAATATAAGTAATAAAAGCATAAAACTCTTAGAAGAAAACACCCAAAAGGCAAAAATCTCTTGAATATAAACATGAGCAACTTTTCCCTGAATGCATCTCCTTGGGCAAGGGAAACAAAAGGGAAAATGAACAAACAGGACTACATTAAGCTAAAAAGCTTCTGTATAGCAAAGGACACCATAAGCAGAACAAAAAGGCATCCTACAGTATGGGACAAGGGGTTAACATTCAAAGTATATGAAGATTACACACACCTTAACACCCAAAAAGCAAATAACCCTATTTAAAAAATGGGCAGAGGATATGAACAGACAATTCTCCAAAGAAGAAAGTCAGATGGCCAACAGGCACATGAAAAGATGCTCCACATCACTAATTACCAGGGAAATGCAAATTTAATCCACAATGAGATAACAGCTCACACCAGTTAGAATGGCCAACATCCAAAAGACTAGGAACAACAAATGCTGGTGAGGATGCAGGGAAAGGGGCACCTTCATACACTGCTGGTGGGAATGTAAATTAGTTTAACCATTGTGGAAAGCAATATGGAGGTTCCTCAAAAAACTAAAAACAGAAATACCATTTGACCCAGTTATTCCACTCCTAGGAATTTACCCAAAGAAAACAAGTCCTCAGATTCAAAAAGACATATGCACCCCTATGTTTATGGCAGCACTATTTACGCAGCTAAGAAATGGAAGCAACCTAAGTGTCCATTAGTAGATGAATGGATAAAGAAGATGTGGTACATATATACAATGGAATATTATTGAGCCATAAGAAGAAGAAAAATCCTACCATTTGCAACAACATGGATGGATCTAGAGGGTATTATGCTCAGTGAAATAAGCCAGGTGGAGAAAGTCAAGTACCAAATGATCTCACTCATCTGTGGAGTATAAGAACAAAGCAAAATTGACAGAACAAAACAGCAGCAGAATCACAGACTCCAAGAAGGGACTAGCAGTTACCAAAGGGGAGGAGTTGGGCTGGGTGGATGGGGAGGGAGAGAGAAGAGGATTGAGGGGTATTATGATTAATACACACAGTGTGTGGTGGGTCACGGGGAAGACAGTGTAACACAGAGAAGACAAGTAGTGACTGTGGCATCTTACTACACTGATGGACAGTGACTGCAATGGGATGTTGGGGAGGACTTGGTAATATGGGTGAATGTAGTAACCACAATGTTTTTCATGTGAAACCTTCATAAGAGTGTATATCAATACTTTAGTAAAAAAAAAATACATAAGCCACTAGTACAAAGTGCTAGTGAGTTTTCTTTCTAAAATGCAAATCTAATATTACTGTCCTTCTCAAGAGTTCTACAGGATAAAGAGCAAATTTCTTAGCATTTCATAAAGCACTGCTACATTTTTTGGCCAACAACTACTGCTCTAATCTCATCGATTCCTCCTCAAAGACTAAGCCCATGCGGTCTTTAACTGCCTGTTTATGCCTCCTGCTCTTTGCCTGTATGCTTCTGTTGCTAGGTAAACCAACTCACTTACAAACTCAGCTCAAACACTATCTCCTTTCTGAAACCCTTCTTGCATCTGATTCTCTCCACTCCTCCCTGTCAGGTAGAACTAACCACTTCCTCCTCTGTGCCTACTGTAGCCCACCCCCTATCCAAAGTGTCTATCTTACTTTACCACACATTTTTAAAAACATGTAAAAGCAACAGAACTAAAAGGAAATGGATTTTTGAGTTGCATAGACAAGATTCAAATCCTTGCTCCACCAATTATTAACTCATTGACTTTGGGTAAGTTAAATTCTCTAAACTCATCTTAAGACCAGGTAAGAATAATAAAGATTTGTCATAATATTTGAAGTCTCACCAGAGCACTTGGTAGAGAGGAGATATGCAATAAATGTTGCTGATAGGGTAAATGAATGTCAAACCAGATGGCCAGTGAATTAGCAAACACTGAATAATGTTGAATTTTTCATCAGACAATATTTGACACTTTACGAAGTCTAAAAACCTTCCTTTCAACTCACACTTTCATTTTGATGAGCTTATTCACTTTTATTTAGTATCATTAAAACCTTTTGTACTACATTATATTAAATCCTTTTGCATTCTATAATATGGGATACCTATCAGTTTTAATAAACTACTAAATCTTGCAATAATTTATACTTTTGGGTATCACTCACCATCATTTTCTTTTGGCATTGAAAGGCACTGAAGTCCTTTGGTCTGTATCTTTTATGAGCACCATTCTCATTGTTAACAAGAAATTCCCCAATAGGGACAGTTCCTGTGCACCATTCAAGAACACCACTTCGCTGAGAAAGGGGAACCACCTGAAGACACGGATTAAATGTCTTTGATTATGGAAGGACATTAAAGCACACGTGACCATCATTAAACTACTATAGTCAGTGTGAAGCAACTTTTCGAATTATATTACTATTTCTCTGTCCACAGGACACAAAGTTCCTTGGAGAAAAGCAACCAAAAATAAACTTAAGTTTAAAAAAATAACATTTTCTAGGCTGCTGAGACTAATGAGAATCCGCTCATCCCTCAATCCCCTTGATTATCTGAGAGATCAATCCTGTGAACAATGCTCTTCATCACATGTGGTTGGGCCATACTTGGTTTGCTCCATTCAGTAGAGGAATTAACTCCGCTTTCCTTATACTTTTCATGTCACGCAAATATGAAGAATTTCACTTTGGAAAATATTGCAGGTCATCTCAATTTTAGTATACCTTAGTAATCAAAAGTATACATATTCTTTCTTTATAGCCTTGTAGCTTTACCAAAAGGAAATGTATTCCCCAACATAAAATAGGCCGTTTTACTAGGAAGATTAAAAATTATGACATATTAAAAGCATAAATGAAGGATAGAAAATCATATAAATACCCTTTTCTCCACTAAACAGCTTTAACAAATCTAAGATTTTCTTGTATTTGCTCAAAGAGAAGCAGCTCCCTTTGTAGCCTCACTGACCCCCTATTCCTCCCCACCATCAAAATAACTGCTAATTTGCTATCACATCCATGTATTTTTTCAGTATATTTTTATTTCAAAGCAATACATACATAAATAGTTGTAAGCTTTAAATAGAGTATTGTATATGTACACTTGTGCAATCCGTTTTTTTCTCACTCAACAATATTCTACCTTTAGCTATGTTAGCACATTTAACTAAGTCATTTCAACAACTGTATATTGTACAAATATGCTGTTATTATCCAATTTATCCACTCTGCATATTGATTAACATTTACATTGTTTCCAGATTTCCCCAAAACACTGCTGCAATGAACTGGTTTACTGGTGAAGATATTTCAGTTTCTCTAGAGTATATATATGCTAGGAATTGAATAGCTTGGTCACTGGGATGGACTTTTCGACTAAGTTAAACAATACTGCCAAATAACTATGCAAAGTGGTAGTGCCAATTTATATACTCACTAGCAAAGTTTATTCCATAACTTTCCCAGCATGCAGTACTGTCAGACTTTTACATTTTGCCAATCTGAGTGTGTGATGATATCTCACTGTAGTTTCAATTTGTATTTTCCAGATTCCTCGTAAGGCTGAGTATTATGTATAGGCTTATTGGCCATTCAGATGTTTTCTTCTTGTGAATTGCCTGTTTACAATCTTTACCCATTATCCTACTGGCTTCTTAGTCTTTTTATTACTGGTTTATAAGAGCTATTTACATATTCTATATATAAATCCCTTGTTATTAATTCCTTTTTATTGTTATTAACATTATTATATTTGTTTTCTCAACTGGCTGCTTTATAGTCTCTTTAATTCTACAACTTTTTTATTTTAATGTACTCAAATTTGTTGACCTGTTTTATGTTTCATGTCTTAAGGAGGCCTTTCATTCATTTATTCACTCTATTTGCTGGCAGTCTATCATGAATTTCACATGCAGCCAGCATGCTGAGAACAGAGTGCAAGTAAGGCAAATGAACATGCCCTTAGAAAGATTCGTCTTGGTGAGGGGACTTATAAGATAATGAACATTTAATGATGCCAGATAACAAGTATAACAGAACAAAAAAAAACAGTGAATAAGAGAGGTGCAGTCAGAGAAGGCCTCTCTGAGGAGGTGCCCTGGAGAGAAACCTGAATGAAGTAGTAACCCATGCAAAGATCTGAGGGAAGAGTATTCCAGGCTGAGCAAAGTAAAAAAGCCCTAAGGTGAGACAAGTGGAGGTAACTACTCATCACAAAGAGCAAGGGAGAGGTAAGGGTGGGAAGGGTGGGAAGGAAAATGGAAAAAGAACAGCAGATGCAAATCACTTCCACTCAGGGTTAATGTGAGGTCATCTGGGGTTTTGAAGAGGACAGGGACATACCGTCACATGCTCTTTTAAAGGATCATTCTAACTGCTGTGAGAACCAGCTTTGGGGAGCCAAGGCAGAAGTAAGGGGTTAGCTGGATATTCTAGAAGTGACTGTAGTTTGGAGCAGGGCAGTAATGGCAGAGGTGATAAAAAGTGACTTGACTAAATATAAGCAGACCAATAAGAACTTGAAAGACTACATGTGAGATTTGAGAGAGTGAAATTTAAAATGAACCTGAATATTTTGGTGATATGTAAGAATTACTGCTAATTGTTTTAGGAGTGATGACAGTATTGTGCTTGTGCTTTTTTTTTTTAAGAGACATTATCACATTGAAATACTACTAATGAAATGATATGACATCCTGCTTCAAAAAAATATTGAAGGGGAAGAAGTGGGTGGAAGCAGAAATGAAGCAAAACTATCCATAAGTTGACAACTGAAGCTGGGTGGCAGAATAATATAACAAACCTACTTGTACTATCTACTTATGCATGTCTTTGAAATTTTCAATAACAAAAGTAAAAAGAAAATAAGGCCTCTAGGCTTTGTTCTGAGCAACTGGGTGAAGGTTGCACCATTTGTTGAGATGGGGAAGAGTTGTTTTGGTTTGGGGTTTTTTGGGGGTTGGGGTGTGGGTGGAGGTAATTAATCAAGAACTCTACTTTAAATTTGTTGAGTATGAGATACTACATAACTGACTAACCTTATTTGGAATCAGCCCTTCTGAAAGGTTGAATCTGATCTGATGAAAGACTTCTTTTATAGACTAAAGGAAAAATGGGGTTTCATTGTAAAGCAGGGAATATGTCCAAAGAGCAGAAGGTCCATGACTACTGAGCCACAATCCACAAGGTAAATTTTTCCAATGACTTGCGTGACTTCTTGCCTGCCATGTGCTCCTGTGATGTTCCATAACTCTAGGAGCACCATCTCTAACAATGCATGTAACAATCCACATTATAATTATGTTTGTGCGCCTCTCTCTCCTAATAGACTGTGAGATTTTTAAGGATTAAGGCCATGTTTTATCACTTTTATATCCACTGCATCTTGTAGAGTATTCAACATAATACTAGGCATGTAAATCATCATTTATTGAACAAATGAATGAATGGATCTTATGGCCTTTACAAGTGATTTTCCTTTTGTCTAAAGACCTCTAAATGCCCCCATCCCAGGAGACCCTGCCCTGTCATTGACTCCCTAATGCTTAATCACATTAACATTCTTGCCTCCTAGTATATTCCACCTAAGGTCTCTTTTCCATTGATCAATTACTCTGTATCAGTATCTAATTAGGCGGGGAAAATGTCAAACACCTTTTCAAGAGACTGATCTAGATGGTAACTGTACTAGTTGGGTCAGGATTTAATAATATGGGTAAACTGTTGAACCACTGTGTTGTATACCTGAAACCAATATAAGATTGTATATCAATGATACTTCAATTAAAAAAAGAGAGAGAGACTGATCTAAAAAGGAATAGATTGGCTTTACCTCTATCTCATCTCGGACTCCAACTGTAATACTGGTTGAGGGAGAAAGAGTTGAATTTAAATTTCAAAAGGCAAATGGTAACCCTGGTACTAAGACTCTCTGGAATAGCCTATTTCAGCTGGGTATCGGGGTATTCTGTGTATCACAAAAAATAACTGATGACTATTTTCTCAGTTCTCCTAAGGTGCACAGCTAGTACTATCCTAGACACATAGAAATGAAGTTAATTCATTCTCTCTCCCAGAACCTTGACTGAGGAGGAAGCTTAAAATAGCTATCACAAAGAAGACAAAGTATTTCCTGGCATAAGGCATGATGAAGAGTTAAGTATAAAGCCTCTTTCAGAACCTATGTATTGTTTCTAAGAGACTTGCATTTTTAAAAAATGAAAGCGCTAACATCTAAGATCTCAGACTTGTTCAGTATATACTTGTAAAAATGTAGACAAATTAGGTCAGGCACACAGATATTTGGTTGTCAGAAGGCTATGTCTGAGTCCAAGCATATACAGAGAACTTTTTCTAGAACTCTAGTAATACATTGTTGAGCTTTTTTAAAACTCAGATATATATACTGACCTTTCTCTAAGAAAGAGGGGAAATAGGGAAATATAGTCATATATGCTATTTGTGTAATACTGGAAACAAATGAAAATGGTGCTTAAGGGAGTTAAGAGGGTAATAAGACTGATAGGAATAGGGGAAGAGGGGCTTCTTTTTTATATACCTTTTTCTGTTGTTGGATTTTTGAACCATTCAAATGCATCACCAAGTCAAAACTAACCTGTAATATACTATATTCTTTACTGAATCAATATTTTCTTTTTAATACCACTTTGCATCTTAAGAGCAATTTTATACCAAAAAATAGGCCAAATAGTCAGAAAAAAGAGAAAAATACTTTAGGTGATTACAAGAAACACCTAACTGTAATTAATATTAACAAGTACTTCAAAAAAAGAAAATAAAAAATACTATTGTCTAAATCAAACCCAGCCATGACTGTTTTTGAACAGCCTATAACTAAGAATGGTTTTTCAGCTTTAAAGGTATGTAAAGAAAATATGCAACAGGGACCTTATGTGGGCCACAAAGTCTAAAATGTTTACTATGTGGTCCTTCGTAGAAAACATTTGCTGAATCCTGGTCTGAACATTTTTTTATACCTTCTTGTTAAAGCAGCAGAGTATAAACTAGTCACCTTATACGTGCAGATGGTCAGTTCCCTCTTTCTGGTCTCGGTGTTTCTCTGCAGCAGTGTATTGCACAGCTGGAAAACCTGCTGCATGACAGCATCTTGTCGCAGGTCATCACGGCCCTTCAGAATGACCAAAGCACAAACAGACAAACACAGTTCATTCTACTATGAAATCACAGAGTCATCTGAAGACAGCAAAAGTCATTCAGATATCAGTCTGGGCATCTGTGCTCCTCTTAACAGTCTCTTAAGTAACAAAGACCTAATGCTGTTCTTTCATTTAGAGTACACTGTAACACTGTATAGGCAAACCTACTCAGAAAAAAGAAGTTTCCCCTTGCTGCTTTTACAATTAGACTAATTAAAACTCTACTTGAGAGCACGCTGCAAAATACCTGGGTGGGGCAGCACTGTTTCACCTCCACTACTTCCCAGCAAGGCCCAGAACTGGGAAACAGAATTAAGAGAGGGATAGTCCCTTTTGGGTACATTTAATACCACTAAGCGCAGTGCTTAGCCTCAGGATACTGAAACAATGGTCTTCACCTTGAACTATTCAAGAAAATAAGCAACAACCACCAAAATATTTTTCCCTAACAAGCAAGCTGATTGTTGACTTCATCATGTCTGTATGTGTTAAAAGTATTCTTTTATTTCAAGCAATTGTTGGAATAATGATGGTCTTTCAGAGACACAAAAAAAAAATGAGGAAAAGGGTTTTGCTTCTAGGAAATATGTTTCTGCTCTGTAAGTTTCCCATACTTGTGATTACTCAGAATAAAAATAAAGACCGAACTAAAGCAAGAAAACATCAACTACAGTTTTTCTTGGACTTCTTTCATTAACCCTCTAAGAACCACAGCACAGAAGGGAGGTCTCACCTTGACAAGCTGTCTCCTTTCCTTACCATCAGACCCCAAACAATCTATTATTTTTGGTAAATTTAAACCTCCTGCTAAACGAAATTCTGTTTTAAATGATTGTATAGTCACCAGATTTCCATATTCTCCTGTGGGGTCCACCTAATAAAAAGTGTAAATATGATAATAGGTCAGATATACTATTTATGTTAACAAAAAAAAGAATTATATGACAATTTTAGTATCAAACAGAAATGAATGACAATGTGCTACTGATTATGAACTGGAGTGATTACTTTCTGTTTAAATGAAAGAAAGATTTGACATTGGAAAACTTTAAAAAGTAATATAGGTAACACAATTTGCCTCCCTATTATCTCTTAATGAAAGTAGCATATACAAAATTATAGTAGTGTATTGAGATGAATTTTAGAAAAGCATAGAAAGGAAGTTTTCTAGGTTTTCACTGATAAATATGGCATTTTCAGGAAATATACAGCAAATAACTTTGCCACTATAGCTGGAAAGATAGCAGTTAATCCACATGATGCAGCTACATTTCCAATCAAATAAGTACAGATACTAAGCACTAAAACCTGCAAACTTGATAGAATTAAAATTATTATTTTCTAAACTATAAGCTTTATTCCTATATATATCCCTGCCCACATGCTATTTCTAACAACGAAATAATAAATTGTCCACAAAGTCTAATCATACCATGTATACTACAATTTATTACTATAATATATATCTTATTATTTAATACTATAACACATCACAGTGAACACATTCTAATGCATACAGAATTTTAAAAAACAGTATAGAATAATTATGAACTTTCTTGCCAAGTTAAAAATTAATCTTGGCATAAGAACATGGAATATTTCCTTCTTTTGGCCAATGAAGGTAACAGTCTACAGACCTTTATTAGAAAGATGAGCAACGTAAATCCGACAGCAAAAGAAAAGAAAGCAGGAGAGTCCTTTAAGTATTTGCCTTTGGCAAAGGGAATCTAATAAAGAAAAAAACCTCTAAGTTGAAACAAATGAAATGGTCAATATTTAACTAATTTTGACTATAAAAAAATCGCTTGAATGGTTTAACCTAATAAGGAGGAATTCAGTTTAACAGGAAAACTAAAACAATTAATGGCCAATTACCTTAATTTCCATAGTAGGTATAACAACATCTTCTAAATTCTTCAGTTTAGTAATTGGCTGGTCTGCTGGAATATTTATGCCTTCTATATAAAAAATAAAGGTTTTAGTGACAACTGCAAATTGAGGAACAACACTGAAGATGGAGGAGAACTCAGCAGATGCCATACATTCCAAACTGTAGTTAATCTGTGGCTCAGGTTCAGATTTAGAAATGATGACCCAGGCTTCAGGACACAATGTATCTCAGGGTCATAGCATAACAATGGTTATCATGGCTTACCAGTGAATTTGCAGGTTACCTAGCACTGGTAATTAAACCAGATTCCACCCGAGGGGCTAGGCTGAGCATCTTAAGATAATTATGTAACAGTTTGTATAGCACACAGATAATGTACTCCTTCCATATTACTATTAAATGTGACTGAAAGATGCGACAATATTCTTTGCTTAGAAAAACACCATGAGAAGTCTGTTATTTTAAAGTAGTAATTTAAATGTGAAGATGATCCTGAATCATGGTTTAAATGATTTTCAACAGAAACAGGATATGATGATTAAAGTTTTGGGAGATACTTATAAGTGTATACATATCATCAAATATTACTGCAACTTATAATTATTTGAACAGATAGAGCAAAAAGAGCGAAGGATCACATGCAAGGCATTCTAACACTTTCCTCTAACTTAATGGCCAATATGATTTGGTATGGCCTTTCATTTTCAAGTCCTAGGGTACAGTGAATAACCAACATAATTTTAAGAAACCTTTGACCCTGAAAACTCTGTTACTCAGTTATTTTAATGGATTTGCCGCTATGAATTCTCTGCAACAAGTTTTTGTACCAGTGATTACCCAGAAAAATCAGATAATTAATTCAGTACTGTCACCTATTATCAGTTCCCACAAAAGATACTAAGTGAAAAAGTGACTGGGAGGTGTTGAAGCTATTAGATTAAAAATAGGGTTTTGGATCATGGGTGAATTGTAATCATCAGGACCTTCATATCTGTCATTAATATGTGTATGTGAGTTAAACAGATTTATGTATTAGGCTCTATAATTAATATACCCTTACAGGAAATAACACAGCAAGAAAACAACACTCATTCAGTCAAACACATACTTCTCTGAGTCTTCCAATGAGTGGCATCTAAGTTTGCTAGCATTATATAAGCATCACAAAGTGCCTCAACACTTCTGACCATCTGAGGTCTCCTACTTCTGATAGTACGTATTATTCTATGTGCAGCCTCCATTCGATCCTATTAATATAAAAAAGAACATTACATAAACAAATACCCAACAGTTAAACTGCTAGGAGTTATAGTAACAAAAGGAAAAATAATTTATGTGCATATCTAGACAATGGAAGGACTATAATCTGTCAGATAACAAACAAAACAGGCATCTTATGAATGAAATACATCAAAGGTATGAAACTCAAGGGTAAATGATTTGGGTCATTAAGAATCTATTTTTTCATTGCTCATTGCTATGAGAAAAAAATGTAAAAGTACTGCTGGTATCTCCTATGCTTTGAGAAATATTCAGGAATTTTGAACCAATTTTAGATGACATCCTAATAGCAAACAATTTACAGACTAAATACTATCAGCAACATACATTCTTAGAATCCCTGAGGCTTAAGAAAGGAAAATCCTGGGAAAAAAATGAATATCACAATTCAAAAAGTTTAATGTATATTTAATCCAAATACCTCATCAAGCTGAGAGCTTTGTTTAGGTGCATTTTTGGTGATTCTACTCCTTTTTGCTGCCTCTGGTTTGGTCAAAAATTCATCTTTGTTTGCATTTGCCAAGGCCAGTATAATAAACAAAGTATGATAAGGGTGATCCATAGAAATTCTAGAGATTAGCTGTCAGAACATCATGAATTATTAGTTTTAAGCAAACACACGCAAAAAAGAAAAATCCATTAACACTTTGCTTAACATTAAGATATGTGTTACTGGACTATATGCTGCAGTGGGCAGAGTGTGTGTGAGAGAGTGGTACATGAGGAGTAAGAGAGAGTAACTTATGTGGAATAAGAGGAAACAAAAGGAAATCTTTATTCCTGCCCTTACATAATAAATATGACTGACCAACATTTTTTTGTATTTCTATTTCCTAGAGTAGAACAATAGTATGTAATAATATAAAAGAAAGGCAATTCTGTTTTGATTTTCAGGTTTACTTACATTATTAAGAACTTCATGAAATCCTAGGCCTCCCATCATTTTGGTTCCCATTCTAGCAGCCAATTGATACATAAGAGGCAAATATTTATATGATGGAATCTTCATTCCATCTCTCTACCATGAAAAAAAAAATACAAAATTTAGAGACAAAGCATTTCAAACAGTCACACATCTAAGCAAATGAATTATTCTAAGACAAAATTCCTCTAATAGCACAACTGGTTGTTAATAAAACTTTACTAACTACATTTGTTTCCTTGTGATTTATCTTTCTGATGGGTATTCTAGATTGAGTCATCTATAAGTCTTAATCTTTGATTATAAATTTAGTTGTAGTCAGAAATGGAGTGCTTGGCACTGTTTATATTCCAGTGAATCCCAGTGAATACAAATGTGGATCTGAGGACTCCTGTGGTCTTGACTCCTGAGAAGTCAGTCTGTAATAAAATGGAAGAACTAAATCCCAGAAAAGAATAAAGCAGGGAGAAAAGACCACCTGGCATCACAGCTATTTAACTGCTTCCCAAATCTCCCAATCTAGCATTTTGAGCACTTCCCTGTGGTAACTACAGAGATACAAAGAAAGACTAACCTAAATTCTCTGTCTCTACATGAACCTGTATAATGGGAGCTAATTAAGTGTCTGTGTGTACAACACTGAACCAAGTGCCAGGGATACAAAGAAGTACAGAAAATCCATGACACTGAGGGGCTTGTGGCTAAGTTGTTAAAGCACAGGCTGGAATACTGGCTTGAGAAAGACTTGCCTTCATCATACCACTGACTTCAGAAACTCCAGAATTTTCAAGCCAGAGAGAACAAAGACGGAATATCCACAGATCATGTCCTTCTCCACTTAATAAACAATTGATGTAATTTTCAACTGCTTTACATAAGAAACGTTTGCGATCCTCTTTAAGTGCACGAAGCGCACGTTCATCCAGCTCCAGCTCTCGCTGAACCTTCACCGTGTATCTTGCATTGGATAATTAAAGTAAAACACAAATGCCATTAAATTTTTTAGAACTACTAAATCATAAATCATAAACAAATAAATGAAAAATCAGGTGTCCATCCCAAGGAAAAAGCAAAATTCTAAGCAAAACTTACATCTGTCTTAGATTTGTGCAACTTAAAAGCTATCCTAGGCAACTGAGGATGAAGTGGATTCATCCCAGGTATTTAGGTAACTTTATTCTCTACTTACACTAAAATGTACAAACCAAAGGCAGGCTTGAATAAAAGGTTTAATTACATCAAAATAGGTAACTCTTCACTATTTAATTTCAACATTGCTTCTAAATTATGATACCAACAAACAAACCAAAAAGGCAGAACAAAAAGTTAACATCCATGCGCTTTACAATGAACTTAGGACCAGAGCAAGATATATATATAACTATCTATACATATATAGTCACTGTATATTTGTATATCTTGTCAACTGTCACTTGTAGACACCTAATTACCTGTTGGTCTCAATTTTATGTTCCCTAAGAAGGCCCACTTCCTCTTTGGCCCTTTCCAGGAGAGCTTGCTTATTTTCAAATTCTGATGATTTCATGTAGTTTTCAATTCTCTGGTACTGAGTATCCGAGAACCGCGCTAATGAGAGAAATGCCTTCATTTTTCCATTTCTGAGCTCATCATTGCTTTCTCCTTCATAATTTCCAGCAACTTCCACTGCCTTCAAGAAAACATAATCCATGTATACTACATTTACAGATACTAAATACATCTAAAGATTCACTCCAGATCAAAGAAATACCCACACTGAAGTATGACTGATATATATGTATAAACCAAATTATACGAAATATAGTATTTTATTGACTTTTCAAAACAACTTTGACAGTGCAGAAATAACCAAAACAGCTAATATTAGTATAGAACTATGCAAAAACAAAGGACTATATAAAATTTAAAGACAATCGTATAATGCTTTTCATGTTACACTTACTTAGTGAGGTTAGCCATTTCCAAAACTAATTAAACTAAAGGAATAAGAGAAAAACAGGTCAAAAGGGGCCGGAGTACTGAAATCCTAGTCCTATTGTAGGGTGGTTGGGCTACAGATGAATAATAAAGGATACTTGCATATTCTGCAGTCAGCAATTTCTGTAGATTAATAAGTGGAGAAATGATCAGAAACAACTTGTTGAAAGAGGAGCTGGTGTTAGGGGGTAGAAAGAAGACACATTTGAGCTTACTTTTAAAATACACTCCTTTTGTAACATTCTGTTTGATTCTGTCCTAAAGATTATATGGAGCTACAACAGTAATGAAAAGGTCAAGTATATTCATGCTAAATGACTCTGACAAGCATTGCTAGAAAATCTTACCTTTTCTAGGTAAGTCTCCATGATGGCCGCAGGATTTTCCAAGCAAGTCTCTGCTAACCAGGTGCCACAAATCCTCAGACATTCTGTGTGCATAAGTTTTAGATTGGGATCATTCTGTATATGAAAAGCAAAATATTCAAATGTAATTCATATCATGACTATATAAAAATATCTCCCATACAAGGGAAAAAAGCAGGTTAAAAATGTTTTTACTTATCACCTTTCTCCATACCACTATTTTAATAATTCCAAGTATGTAAGTTTATGAAATAATCATCCCCTACTGTTTTTATTATTATTTCTATTATTGGAACAGCTTACAATTGTTGAATACTTGCATATATACCAGGCACTTCCCAGTAGCCTTACATATATTACTTCGTTTAATCCTCACAAGAACGCTATGGAGTGAGGACTGTTATTATTTTTAGTTTTCAGACTAGAAAACTAAAACTGAGGCACACAGAGGGTAGGTAACTGAAGCCAACTTTACTCCAGGGCTCATATTGTTAAGCAATATTTAAATATTATGTTGGTGTCCATGTTTTAGGATAATGATGAATTTTCTAATATTGGACAACATCATACAAGTGCTCAACACTGAAAGCGTTATAAGCTGACATTCACTCAATAGGTGTCAGAAGGACATCAAGGTGGCCAAACCTTTAAACATTTCATGATTCCTACATATGCCTCTACTTTGTCCACTATACGCTACAGAGTTAAGCAACCAAGTTTTTAATAACTAATAAATGTAAGATAACATATTATATTTTCAAAGTATTTGGACAACCTAATTATCCCAACCTGCTTTTCTTTAACTTTTGTTCTCTCATGCATTTGCCCTTTCATATTGTTTTTATTTATTTCAAACTTAACAGTAGCTCTTTCATGTTTGTTTCCCACTTTTCTTAAATTTTATACAAAGTTAAATAAAAAAGCTTGACATTGGGATAAATTAATCTATCACAAGATGGGCCAACAGAATTGCTGTAAATAGGGAAAATGAATACTTTCTGAACTTCTTTTGCAAATATTAATTTTCCAGACTCTATTACAATTCCTTGTTCATGAAGCAGTCATTTTAAGGCTTTAATAAAATCTTGGATTTACTAAAAATATTTTAAAACATAGTAATTTTTTTTATAACAGTAAAATACTAATTTCAGCCAATAAAGTGAACCTTGGTACAACTGGCATCCAACTTCTTGATCATTTGCTTGAGAATACTCAGGGCAAGACTCTGCTCCTTTTTTGCCCAAAATACTTGCGCTTCCTCCAGCTGCCACTGAGAGACTCCACAACTAGCTGACTTACACTGTTTAATGTGAAATATTGCTCTTTCAGGGAGCTGAAAAGGAAAATGACATACAGGAATAAATACTTAAACTATTACTTCTACTACCACTAACAATAATAATGAAAGTAGTAACTACTATTCATTGAGGGCTTGACTATTTGTCAGGACTGTCTTAAGTACATCTCTACCTGTCTTCTCCAAGCCATGTCTGCCTGTCTGCTTTCCACATATATATGTATGTGTATGTGTGCATGTGCATGCCCCCATATACATAAAATCATTTAATTGCTATCAGTATAAATTAGGTATCTTCTCATTTCACAATCAGGAAATTGAGGCTTAAAGGAGGTCAAGGCTTAAATTAAACTCAGGTCTAACACCAAAATGGGAAATCTTAATGTTGCTATGCAATATCTTAATAGTGACCTTTGTCTCTCAATGACATTTCCTTCTTATTCACGCTTTCTACTTTCTGGGTAACAAAAGGAAAAGTCAAGAGGTGATGAGATAACACAGCTTTAAATCCTATTACCTGAGTGTTTTTGAAAGTTCGGGCTAGTGTGGAGAGTTCTACGAGGTGTTTGGTAAGAATGTCCTCGAAACACTCTCGTTGAGAGCTCTCCATTTCCTTTTCCATCAGGATCTCCAGAATGACTGTGCGCAGAGTCATGATAGGCTCCTGAAAACTGAAATCACTGTCTTTGAGAAGCTGGGAGTGTTTTTGCCACTTCATGTATATTTCTGAGGGTTGTCTATCTGTGACTGATCTGAAAGCAAATTCACAGGATACACGTAAGAGAAGTGAAAAAACAAAATGCTATTATGCAAGTTTTAAACTTAAGATATAATATGATGGAGTTTTTTCAGTAACAAGACTAGAACTTCTAACTAATCTGAAGTAAAGATAAAAGTTTAGAAAAACTACAAAACGCTCAGACCTCTGAGGGTCAGCAGAAGCCACAAATGAACATTTTAAAAGATTTTAAAAATACTCTTCAACCTCGCAAAAAGCAGCATTTATAAATAAATATTCTTCTGAAATGTTATCTTCTCATTTCACAATCAGGAAATTGAGGCTTAAAGGAGGTCAAGGCTTAAATTAAACTCAGGTCTAACACCAAAATGGGAAATCTTAATGTTGCTATGCAATATCTTAATAGTGACCTTTGTCTCTCAATGACATTTCCTTCTTATTCACGCTTTCTACTTTCTGGGTAACAAAAGGAAAAGTCAAGAGGTGATGAGATAACACAGCTTTAAATCCTATTACCTGAGTGTTTTTGAAAGTTCGGGCTAGTGTGGAGAGTTCTACGAGGTGTTTGGTAAGAATGTCCTCGAAACACTCTCGTTGAGAGCTCTCCATTTCCTTTTCCATCAGGATCTCCAGAATGACTGTGCGCAGAGTCATGATAGGCTCCTGAAAACTGAAATCACTGTCTTTGAGAAGCTGGGAGTGTTTTTGCCACTTCATGTATATTTCTGAGGGTTGTCTATCTGTGACTGATCTGAAAGCAAATTCACAGGATACACGTAAGAGAAGTGAAAAAACAAAATGCTATTATGCAAGTTTTAAACTTAAGATATAATATGATGGAGTTTTTTCAGTAACAAGACTAGAACTTCTAACTAATCTGAAGTAAAGATAAAAGTTTAGAAAAACTACAAAACGCTCAGACCTCTGAGGGTCAGCAGAAGCCACAAATGAACATTTTAAAAGATTTTAAAAATACTCTTCAACCTCGCAAAAAGCAGCATTTATAAATAAATATTCTTCTGAAATGCCTGCATCTCTAGACCTGTGGTAAAAGAGGACATGCAGCCAAGAAATGAAGTAAACTTCATAGTTACCTAGTGTGCCAACCAGGCAAAGGGGTTGACTTTATACATAATTGCAGCTGAGCTGTTAAAGAAATCACAGACTCGTGAAGGAAATTCAGGCAGCTGGCAAATGTTTCATTTACCAACATTATTTATCAAAGGAAGAGAAAATGTGTATCATACAGTTTATAGGGACAGTTGCTTCCCAGATGCTCAAACTAAGCAACACCATCCAATCCTTCAGGACAACTGTACTGAGAGAAATCAGCATGAAGGAAGGAGGCTAAAGGACAGGATGATGACGAGGAAATGGAAGCTCTTCCAGTCGCTTGATAAAGAAGGGAGCAGTCACACAAACTCACAGGAACCCAACTTTAATTCCTCCCCAAATGACAGAGCAGCAAGTATCAAACTTTTTAATCTTGGAACCCCTTTACACTCATACAAATTAGTGACGATCTCAAAGTATGTTTTCATTTGATTATACATAAAGACATTTACCATAAAAGAAACTAAAACAGAGAAAAATATGTATTATTTAAAAATAATAAATCTGTTATATGTCATAAATAACATTTTTCATGAAAAATAACTAAACTTCCCAAAATAACATTTAGTGAGAACAATGGCACTGTTTGGCATGCCTGCAAATATCTCTGATGTCTGGTGTAATAGAGATAGCTGAATTCTCACTGTTGCTTCTGCACGGGTTTACTGTGTAGGATGCCCTGGCCGAGGTACATGAACAAAGTCTACCCTCTTGCAGATCTGAGGGAGGAGCCTGCTTAGAGCCTTTTCAGGTAGTTGTGGATATTTCTCTCTGATACCTCACTAAAACTCCACTGAACCTCATGAAAGAAAAAGGAAGTGACATCTTGCTCTAAGTGTAAGGACACCTTTGATCTCACAGACTCCCGAGAGGACCTCGGGGGCTCCGGGGACCCCCACGCCGCACCAGGAGAACTGTGGCCCTGCCGCACACGTGTCTGTTCACCAGCTCCTCCAACATTGTCCCTCCGCCTCTCTTCCTTATCATTCCCTACCAGACAAAGGGCCAGTATTACTCTTCAGGGGTTTCTTTTTTTTTTTTCAGAGGTTTCTTAAGCAATTCTGTCTTCTGTTTAAAGATATTTTTTATTCAGAGTAAAAGTTCCTGATTTCTGGCAGTAAGAACTATCAAAATACTTATTAATGAAAGCAAAAGCAATTTTATTCCCTTATTCTCTAGTTAAGATGACTCACATTAATGGTTTTGTCTTCCATTATCTATGCAATTTTGAAAAAAAAAATTTACTAATTCTAGAATTTCATTCTCCTTTCTACTTACAAAGCATATTCCAAGCTTTATGGTAGCATAAAGTATAGTGATCTTAGTAATTTTATACCCTCTTTTGGTAATACAATGACTCAGAATGACAGGTCTCAAGGAGGCTCTAGAGACCATCAAACATAAATTCTCCATTTCAGAAATAAGGAAAATGAGGCCCAAAGAGATCAAGTCTTTCTCAGGGTAACAAATTCCAAAGTTAGATCCACTACCCTGAATAAATGTTTTATCTCATTTCCAGTATTTCCAGGTCACTTCCTTCTCACCATTATAAGATGTAATCTCCACTAAGCACCTACTCCAAATTCACTGACAGTCACTGAATAAAGACCACTGAATGATTACTAAGAATCAGTTACCAGGAAAAGCACTGGGATACAACAGTAAACTAGAGAGTGGGTCCCACTTTTAGAAGCTTCTCATATCCTTGACAGAATATACACAAAATGATACTAACACCAATGCAGTGCTAAAACAGAATGGAGTATAATGTGTTATGGCAAAAAACATGAGGAAATAATTTTATCTAGACTAGAACAGGGAAAAAACTATAAAAAAACACAATACAGCTAAATTTTAAAAACTTGTATTTTAACAATGAATAATTTTGAACATGTTTATTTTAATAAGAGCACAATCCACTCAATATATTTATTTATTTATTAAGGTATCATTGACATACAATCTTACGAAGGTTTCACGAGAGCAACACTGTGGTCACTACATTCACCCCCATCTTACTGCAGTCATTGTCCATCAGCACAGCAAGATGCCATAGAGTCACTAGGTCACTAGTCTTCTCTGTGCTGCACCGCCTTCCCCGTGACCCCCCCTCCCCCGCTTACGTGTTAAATCCTACGCCCTTTAATCCCCTTCTCCCTCTCTCCCCAACCCTTTCCCTTTGGTAACAGCTAGTCACTTATCTTTTTGTTAAAGGGAATACCTTAAGTGTAGCTACCATCTGTCACCATTCAAAGTTATTACAGTATTACTGACTATATTCCCTGTGCTGTACTTTTCATCCCAGTAACTTATTTTATCACTGGAAGTTTGTACTTTCCAACCCCTTCAACTATTTCACCCATACCCCCCAAATCCTCCCCTCTGGCAACCACCAATTTATTTTCTGTATTTGAGTCTATTTTTGTTTTTTTGTAGTTTATAGTTTAGATTCCACATATGAAACACATATATTTGTCTTTTTATGTCTGGCTTATCTCAATACCCTCTAGGTCCATCCATGTTGTTGTAAACGGCAAGATTTTACTCATTTTTATGGCTGTTGTATATTGTGTGTGTGTGTGTATATATACACATTGTGTGTGTATATATATATATATGCATTTCTATATGTATACATATACACCATGTCTTCTTTATCCATTCATCTACTGAGGGTCACTTAGGTTGCTTCCGTATCTGTTACAACACTTCTTATTTCTTGTCATTTTGATACCTCCCATTCTAACTGGTGTAAAGTGATATTTCATTGTGGATAATTTAAATCTTCATAAAAGGAAAGAAAAAAACCTACTGCTGGTCTCTATTTTTATTTTTCAAAGTGACTGTTGGTAACAGAAAAACTGTACTTGAGGATTACAAGGTCATATGAATCACATACCTTGAGAAAAGCTCCCCAATGTTTTCAAGCTCTCCAATGGCCTGCAATCTGCTAAGTGTGGGGTAGAGAGAATACACAGACTCGAGGCTGTCCTTACACAACTCTTCCACTTCCTTTACTCTAGTGGCAAAAAAGACAAAAAATACTTTGAAAAATAAGAAGAGGTTTTCAGGAAGTTCAAAGTTCAAATTCGTTATTAAAGAGCTGTCATTCTAGGCTTTGATGTTGATCTGGGCCTACTAATTCACAAGCACCAGCAGAATACAGATGAACTAAAGTAAGTCTTGAAATCATACAGAACTAGATCTAAATCCTACTTTTGCCAATTATGGCAATGTAACATTGGGCACACTATTGGATTCTTCTGGACCTTTTTTCACCTCCAGGATTAGTTTAAAGATTAGAGAACACATGGAAAGAGAATAATAAAGTGGCTAGAATATAAAAAGCACTTAGATGGTAGCAAATATTATTTCTGTAATTAAAATACAGTATTTAATAGGTCACTACTATTAAACAAAAAACAGTGAGTTACATTTGTTCAGCCTGTTACAGTTAAGCACTTTCTTGTGCATTATCTCATTTGTGCCTCATAACAAGGCTTTAAGTACTGAGCATTAGTCACCACTTTATAGAAAGAGCACTAGTGTTAAAAGAGAAAAATATCACACAACTACTCAGGGAGACAGGGTGAAAACTTTCAGTATACTGGCGCAGGAAGAGAGCAAAAGAGTGGGAAATCAACAAGTCTTTCCTGAGGGTTCAGCATAAAGAACAGACCTGGGGTTCCAAAGGGAATTTCCTTTTTTAAAAGGAATAATATAAATTTTTTTTAGCATGATATATTCATTTTTGAAAATGTTCTTTTTCTTTTTTTAATTAAAGTATCATTGGTATACAATCTTAATATGCTTTCACATAAACAACACTGTGGAGGAAAGAATATATTTGAACCACATACATAAAGAAAAAGGTATTACATATGTAAAAATGTAACAATTTATGTTGAGTACTAACATATGAGCATGCTCCTACATCTAAAAGAAACAAATAAAAGGTAACTATTAGTACTATTTATGTTATATGACTGTATGTGTGTGTATACATACATGCTTATATATATTTATTTGACAAATGTACATTAAAGAATTCTCTAATTTAAAACATGGAAAATACTGTTTCAAGATACAGAAAATATGTCAAGATAGGCAAATCCACAGTTCTTATGAAAACACGGTTGCAGAGCATAAACTCATCTGACTATCCAATTTCAGATGTGTTAAAGCTATAAAATGGTTAATAACTGTATATTGCCTCTTCCTTTTGCACCGTTTGAATTTCAACACTGATTGGGTGAATTATTTATTACACAGGGTTTTTTTTGAGAGGAGGGCAGGAATGACAAGGAAACAGTCTCACCATGGCCACCAAGTCTTATCTATTCACCAGTGTAAATCCTTACATTGAAATTATTCATCAATTTTTCAAAAAAAAGAAGACACGACATTAACTGTTAAAATACAATAACTCTTTGTTTTTATAATACCTGGCATACTTGAGACTCTCATAAAATGTAGAGAATTCTCTATCTCTTAGAGACTGCAGAGCATTATACAATGATTCGTGGTAACTGGTTCCTTCTATTCCTTTGCTGTGAGATAATTTTTAAAATGAAAAATACATTTAAAAACAGAATATGCATACATAAAGAATTTCACCAGAAGATAAAATCTGAACACTAAAATTAAGATTTTTCCATTTAAAAATGCATCTCTAGAAATTCGATAAGAAATACAAAGTATTTTGTTAGTTATTTAAATTCCTCAAGCAGAAGTACATTTCTCAGATATTTTGCCTAGTTCTAAGTATGCTATATTCTCATATATTTATTCAATGAACACTTAATATATCCCAAGCACTAGGTATGAGGTTCTACATGCTCAGAATCCATCAGTGGACAAGTCACATCAGGTCATTATTCTTACGAAGTTAATGTTGTGGTTTGGAGCAGATTAAGAAAAGTATCAAGTCAGTGGCAAGGAACATGCAGAGAATTAAAATAGAATAAAAAGTAGAATGACTGAGTAGCTACTTAAGAATGGTTGATAAGGAAAGGTTTCTCTGAGATGTGACATTATTAAACCAGAGTCTGAAATGACAAGAAACCATGCATATAATAACAGGGAAAAAAGAAGATACATTTAAAGCCTATAGGTAGGAACAGGTTAGTCTGATGGAAAAACATGGAGAAGGTCTATGTGGCTGAAATGTAGTAGGCAAAAGGAAAAATATGGTGATTTATAGAAGCAAGCTCATAGGATAAAATGCTTTAAAAATATGAATGCATATCTCTAATTTTACAGCAATCTAATTAGTCTGAAATTTGAAAGATACTTCATTAGTGAAAACCTTTTTTCCTCTGGTGGTAATTAAATACACACTTAACATTTAATTTTTTGCTATTTATATAATCAAGACATTTTACATAAATACAAATCCTTCATTAAATTAGGGGTTTGGCTTTTCATTCAGAAAACATGGTGACCTTTCATATATGTTATAAACATTACCCTATGTTAATGACTTAGTAGTATTTTTTATAAAAGAATATATTTCATGAAGATAAGCAGTCTTTTGTGTACCATCCAGTCAACAGAAGTGCTATCTGATTAACTCAAATGTCTCCATCAGGGATTGGGAAGGGGGGTACTTGTATTCTTTTTTTGGATTTATAAACAATAAGCAAGAAGATTCCCATGAGAAAATACATTTTATATTTCTATTTTCAAGTATATCTTGAGGGTAGGAGTGGAGTTGCCTTAACGGACAAAAAAAGAGTGAAATTCAGGCCTCGGTACGTTAACTGCTTATTGCTATCTTATCTTAGCATTTAGGCATTAACTAGTTTGCATCACCTACAAAACATAAAAAACAAATCCTGTTACTTTTACAGAGCATGAGAAAAAGTTTATTGCTTATAACTAGGAGAAATAGGCAAAAAAATATATATATATCAAAAGTTCTTACTTGACAGAAATGCAGTGGTCCCACTGCATATTCCTCCAGGCTGCTTGGTAATGAAGTTCCTGTAGTTCAGCAGACCACTCTTTATTTTTATGATCTAATCCTTTTAAGTACATAGAAAGAATATGGCAGAGTCCCAGATTCTGCAAGGCCTGAGCAGAAGTTTAATAAAAAAGAATAGCAAACATGACAAGTAACTTAAAACAATTTTAGTAGTTCACAATATATCACTTAAAATACCATAATATTGTTTAGTATGTTCCCACAAAACACAAAGAGCTCAAAGGACTCAAATATTTGATGGAAGAATGACTGAGGAATATTAGCCATAACAGAAATGATAGCTTCTGACACCAATTCTAGTGCAAACTATGAGAAATAATTTATAAGAGATTTTCCATGTTAAGGACTTAATTAACTACCAGACACACTGTACACAGTTAGGAAATGTCTTCTTACTGTTAACTAACAAGATTATGATCAAATCCACACTACCTTTTAGGTTAGTAACCTGTCGAATTTACCTGTGTATCCCTCCAAGTTTTTAGCCCAATGCCTGAAAGACTGGAAACTTTCAGTCTTATCTCTAGAGTTTATCTGGCTGTGTAAAGACTCCACTGACATACTGAAATAATCTTAGCACTACACAAGTAGTGCTTTACCAAAGTAGAAATAGCACATACCTGAATTATTCCTGCGTGGCGTGTTGAGGAGGCGATTGTTGTCTCAAGGTCATACGTTACTAGGGCTTTCCCCCACATTGCTTCATGTTCATATGTTTGTAGTCTACAATTGAAGATTTTCAAAACACCTTTGAGTTGTACATGCATGTAACTCCCTCACAAGTAGAATTAGTACACCATTATTTACAAAAATGCAATTTACCTAGTAAGAGGTTGTAGCATTTTCCCTCCACCACAGCCATAAAGACTATCTGGCTCTCCTATACTTCTGTAGATTTCTAAGAGTAGATCCTACAAAAATGGAAACCACAAAAATTAGGAGAAAAAAAATCACCTTAGGAAGTTAGCAAATTGGATTATATCAATACCTACATGTGACTGCCAACTCTAAAATGTTATGCTATAAAAGTAAAATATGATATTGAAATATCTACTAAAGAATCAGCAACACAGCAAACTGATCCCAGACAACAGAATGGTTGTGATTACCTAAAAATTGCCAACCATTTTCTGAATTACGTAAGAAATAAAACCTAACCTACAGGATTTTAAAACATGCAACAATAATCATAAAAACAAAAACCCTATCAACAGCTACACTGTACATGGGAAAATGATGTTCTTGAAAAAACTGAATTTGGTAAATTGGTCATGAGTTTTTTCTGAAAGAAAATTCAAAATTGCATTATTCCACAATTGGTAAAATGTGATATGGATAAAGAAATGCTTTGAAGACTCAAATTTTTGTTACAAAATTTACATAGGAAAGATGCTTGTTTAAATTGATGCTGATTAAAACCATCTTAGTAAAACAAAAAATGAAATAGAAAAAAATAGAAAATTGACTAGGTTAAAAAACTGTATCACTTAGAAAACTGAAAAAGCAATTTAAAAGTCATAATGGTGCTTGCTCCAGAGAGTATTTTCTAAATAAAAATCATTGATGCTGACATAATTCTACAATTCTAGTTTATTCTGTTCATAAGTCTGAAATCATGCCCTCCATTTTGGACCATTCAGTACCTAAGCCTACCACGGGGACTGGTACACAAAAGATATTCCAAAAACTCAATAAAAAAGCGTAAGACTATAAAGAGACAAAAAAGGGAAAGTAAAAAATCAGGAGAATGGGATCAAAAAGGTACACAAAACATAATTCAAGCAAGGCATGGTTGACGGACAAAATCAGGTGGAAAAAGTCATCCCAGCATACTCAGCCCATGTTAATGAAAATTAAGAGAAGATACTGACTGAAAGGTACCTAGCAGACTTTAACATAAAGTTTAGGGGTGACATTCTCAAGTGCTAACTCAGTAGAAAGACAGGAAGAGAAAGAAGTGGAGATAGCAAAGACAGACAACTCTTTATAAAGTTTGGCTGTAAAGGAAAAAGAGAGAAAAAGGATGATATTTAAGAGAAAACAAGAGAAGCAATAAATGGTTTTGTGTTAGTTTGAAGGAGAATATTTCAGTAGGAGAAGTGTGGAAATAAATATGCTGAGAGGGAGCACAGCACAATGAAAAATAAATTTTCTGAGAAAGAGTTGATGAAAAACAACACACTGGAAAGATCAGTCTTGGACTATATGCTGAGAGGGAGCACAGCACAATGAAAAATAAATTTTCTGAGAAAGAGTTGATGAAAAACAACACACTGGAAAGATCAGTCTTGGACAGAAGGAGAAACTGTTTCTCTACTTTAATATGAGGAAAGGTTACAATGAAGCAGGTGCAGGCAGGTTTCCACGTCCAATAGTGGGATGTGATACCAGGCAAGCTGAAAGCAAAAGCAGAGAGAAAAGACCAGAGGTTTAAGCAAAGGTAGAGTAGAAGTTGTTATTTCACAGGAATGAACTGACTAAAGAAATTTAGAATGGACCAATTTAAAACAGACATTAAAAATTTTATACAGGACCGGCTTAAAGATGGCAGCATGAGAGGTGAAACAGAGACCTCCTCCCATAACCACATATAATATGAAAATATAGCAAATACATCTACTCCTAAAAGAGCAACAGGAAAGAAGGCTGCAACAGACTGCCTGCTGGGGAAAAGAGCAGACCTCACGGAAAAGGGTAAAGTGCCAAAACCGTGATTCAGGAGGACCCAAGCCCTAACCGCACCCCAGCTGAGCAGTGGGAGTAAAAGAAACGAAGCACAGATGGGTGGAGGCCAAGGACTGCTGAACTCCCAGCTCTGGAGATCTGCTCTGGGAGGACGAACCTACATTACATGGTGCTCTGGGGATCAGCAGGGTTGGACAGCTAATAATGGCAGAATACTTGGAGAGACTGAGATTCCAGCTCCTTGTGAAGAATAGGCTCCCACAATAAGACGCTCTGTGACAAAAGACAGGTGGGCACTCTGAGAGACTTCCACAGCTAGAGGGTTGCTACAGGGGCAAGGATTGCACAGAGCTTGCTGCTCAGGAGAAAGGACAGGGGGAAAAGATTGTCACAATGCATTCAGCCCAGCAGGTTGGAACTTTCAGGAGCATCAGGTGCTCCATCCCCATGTCTGGCAACATAGCTCTGAGGCACCTCACCATGATATGCAGCCTGATGCTCCTTCCTCCCGGCCAGCAGTGGCTTGCAAACCTGCTACCACTGCCACTGCGCCATGCCAGAAAGAGGATGGCCCTGCATATGGCAGCTACAAGACAGAGCATAAAGCCCCTCCTTATGCAGTAGGCCCACTGGCGCTGGCAGTGGTGGCAATCACTGCAGCTGGGAAGCAGGAAAGAGCACTTTCCCACCAGCAGGCACCATTGTGGCTCACCTGCAACACCCGCCATTGCTCAAGGCAGCCAGAGAGCAGCCCCACCCATAGCACCTATGGGGACCTATCGAAGAAGCTGCTCCTACATGTGCAGCTCATTGGCTGTAACAGTGAAGCCAGGCACTACAACCGGGAAACAGGAAGGAGCTCTCTTCTCCAGGCAGGCACCAGCACCACTCGCCTGTGATACCTGCCATCACCCCATGGGTGGAGCAGCTCCAAGGAGTAGAGCTTCTGGACACTAGAGGGTGTCGCCTACACCATGTTATTACTACAAATAGGAAATGTGAAAAGAACCTAGTACAAAGCAAAATCTCACAAACACCAGAAAGAGGACCAATTAAAACTGAACTCACTGATTTCCTGAAAAAGATTTCAAAATAAAAATCATAAACATGCTCACGGAGCTACAGAGAAATATTCAACACCTCAGGGAGGAATTCAAGAAAGACACAGAAACTGAAAAATACAGTGTCTGAAATGAAACATACAATGGAGGAATTTAAAAGCAGATGAGATGACATAGAGGAGATGGTAAATGAAATAGAAATTAGAGAACAGGAATACAAAGAAGCTCAGGCACAGAGAGAAAAAAGGATCTCTAGGATATATTAAGAGAACTGTGTGCACAATCCAACAAGAATAATATTCACATTATAGGGGTACCAGAAGAACAGAGAGAAAAGGGGATAGAAAGTATCTTTGAGGAGGTAATTATTAAAAACTTCCCCAATCTGGGAAAGGAGATACTCTCTGAGGCCACGGAGGTGCACAGATTGCCCAACATAAGGGACCCAAGGAAGACAAGATCAAGATACATAATAATTAAAAAGGCAAAGATTAGGGATAAGGACAGAGTATTAAAAGCAGCGAGAGAGAGAAAAAATATCACCTACAAAGGAAAACCCATCAGGCTATCACCAGACTTCTCAACAAAAACCTTACATGCAAGAAGGGAGGGACATGATACATTTAATGACATGAAACACAAGGGCCTCAAATCAAAGAATACTCTACCTGGCAAGATTATCATTTAAATTTGAAGGAGGAATTAAACAGTTTCTAGGTAAGCAAAAGTTGAGAGAATTTACCTCCTACAAATCATCTCTACAGTGTATTTTGGAGGGACTATAGATGGCAGAGCTCCTAAGACTAAACAGCTGTCACCAGAGGAAATAAAACCACAGTAAAGAAAGTAGAACAGTTAACTACTAAACAGATGCAAAATCAAATCAGTTACCCACATAGTCAGTCAAGGGATAGACAAAGAGTACAGAATATGATACAGAATAGGAAGAAAAAGGAGGAAAAAAAAACCTTTAGATTGTGTTTGTAATAGCATACTAAGAGAGTTAAACTAGACTCTTAGATAGTAAGGTAATTACCCTTGAACCTTTGGGAACCACAAATCTAAAGCCTGCAATGGCAATAAATACATACCTATCAATAATCAAACTAAATGTAAATGGTTTGAATGCACCAATCAAAAGACATGGAGTCACTGAATAGATAAAAAAACAAGACCCGTCTATATGCTGCCCACAAGAGACTCACTTCAAACCCAAAGACATACACTGAGTAAAAGTGAAGGGATGGAAAAAGAAACTTCATGCAACTAATAGGGAGAAAAAAGCAGGCATTACAGTACTTGTATCAGACAAAATAGACTTCAAAACAAAGAAAGTCACAAGAGACAAAGGACCCTACCTAATGAGAAACGTGTCAGTCCAACAAGAGGATATAACCATTATAAATATCTATGCACCCAACATAGGAACACCTATATATGCAAAACAAACACTAAGAGAATTGGAGGGGGAAACAGAATGCAAAGCATTCATTTTAGGAGACTTCAACACACCACTCACTCCAAAGGAGAGATCAACCAGACAGAAAATAAGTAAGGAGACAGAGGCACTGAACAACACATTAATTAGAACAGATGGACCTAATAGACATCTATAGAATATTAAACCCAAAAGCAGCAGGACACACATTATTCTCAAGTGCACATGGGACATTTTCAAGAATAAATCATATACTAGGCGACAAAAAGAGCCTCGGTAAATTCAAAAGGACTAAAATTGTATCAACCAGAATCTCAGACCACAAAGGTATGAAACTAGAAATAAATTATGCAAAGAAAACAAAAAGACCCACAAAAACATGGAAGCTTAACAACATGCTCCTAAATGATCAATGGATCAATGACCAAATAAAAATAGAGATCAAGCAATATATGGAGACAAAAGACAACAGTAAGTCAACACTTAGCAGCGAAGGCCACGCTAAGAGAGAAGTAGGTTGCCAAACAGGCCTACCTCAGGAAAGAAGAACACTCCCATATGAATGGTTTACACTCACAATTAATGAAACTAGAAAACGAAGAACAAATGAGGCCTAAATTCAGTAGAAGGTAGGACATAATAAGGATTAGAGCAGAAATAAATAAAATCATGAAGAATAAAACAACAGAAACAATCAATGAAAGCAGGAGCTAGTTCTTGAGAAAATAAAGAAAACAGATAAACCCCTAGCCAGACTTATCAAGAAAAAAAGAGAGTCTACACATATAAACAGAATCAGAAATGAGAAAGGACAAATTACTACGGATACCACCAAAACACAAAGAATTATTAGAGAATACTATGAAAAATTATATGCTAACAAATTGGATAACTTAGAAGAAATGGACAACTTTCTAGAAAAATACAACCTTCCAAGGCTGACCCAGAAGAAGTGGAAAATCTGAACACACCAATTACCAGCAACAAAATTGAACTGGTGATCACAAAACTACCTAAGAACAAAACCCCTCAACCAGATGGCTTCACCACTGAATTTTATCAAACATTTGATGAATACCTAACACCAATCCTCCTTAAAGTTTTCCAAAAACTAGAAGAGGAGGGAATATTTCCCAATTCATTCTATGAAGCCAGCATCACTCTAATACTAAAACCAGGCAAAGACACCACAAAGAAAGGAAACTACATACCAATACCAAAATACTCAACAAAATATTAGCAAACCAAATTCAAAAACACATAAAGAGGTTCATCCATCATGATCAGGTGGGATTCATCCCAGGGATGCAAAGATTGTACAGCATTTGAAAATCCATCAACATCATTCATTATATCAATAAAAAAGGACAAAAATCACATGGTCATCTCCATAGATGCTGAAAAAGCACTTGACAAAATTCAACACCCATTCATAATAAAAATTCTCAACAAAATGGGTAGAGAGGGCAATTACCTCAAAATAATAAAGGCCATGTATGACAAACCCACAGCCAAAACATACTTAACAGTGAGAAGCTGAAAGCTTTTCCTTTAAGATTGGGAACAAGACAAGGATACCCGTTCTCCCCACTTTTATTCACCTTAGTTCTGGAGGTCCTAGACACAGAAGACAACACCTAGAAATAAAGGGCATCAAGTTTGGCTAGAAAGAAGTTAAACTGTCACTGTTGCAGATGACATGATATTGTACATAAAAAACCCTAAAGAATCCACTCCAAAGCTGCTAGATCTAATATCTGAATTCAGCAAAGTTGCAGGATACAAAATTAATACACAGAAATCTGTTGCATCCCTATACCCTAATGATAAACTAGCAGAAAGAGAAATCAGGAAAACAATTCCATTCACAATTACATCAAAAAGAATAAAATACCTAGGAATAAACCTAACCAAGGAGGTGGAAGACCTATACCCTGAAAACTACAAGACACTCATGAGAGAAATGAAAGAAGACACCAATAAATGGAAATATATCCCATGCTCTTGGGTAGGAAGAATTAATATTGTCAAAATGGCCATCCTGCCTAAAGCAATCTACAGATTCAATGCAATCCCTACCAAAATACCAACAGCATTCCTCAACGAACTAGAGAAATTAGTTCTAAAATTCATATGGAACCACAAAAGATCTGGAATAGCCAAAGCAATCCTGAGAAGGATGAAAATAGCTGGGGGAATTACACTATTACACTCCCTGACTTCAAGCTCTAGTACAAAGCCATAGTAATCAAGAAAATTTGGTTCTGGCACAAGAACAGACCCATAGGTTAATGGAATAGACCCATAGACCAATGGAACAGAATAGAGAGTCCAGATATTAACCCAAGCATATATGGTCAGTTAATATACAATAAAGGAGCCATGGATATACAATGGGGAAATGACAGTCTCTTCAACAACTGGTGTTGGCAATACTGGACAGTTACATGCAAGAGAATGAAACTGGAACACATCAAACAACAAATGCTGGTTTGGGTGTAGAGAAAGGGGTACCCTCCTACAGTGTTATTGGAAATGTAAATTAGTTCAACCATTGTGGAAAGCAAAAACGAAAAAGAAAGGTGGAGGTTGTCAATTGGACTATAGGAACTAAAGAGATACAACAAAATGTAAGGAGTGAACTTTAATTAGATCTTTATTGGAAGCAGTTAGGGGAATACATTTCTGAGACTCTTGGGAAATTTTAAATTATGGCTTAGATATTTGATAATTTAATGATTTAATTTTTCTGAACTATGATATGACTGGTTATATAAGAGCCTTATTCTTAGGAAATGCTTGGTTAATTTTCAGTGGGTGAAATGTCATTATATATGTAACTCAAAATCACATGGTTCAGCAAAATATATATCATATCAATATATGAACACCTGTTTAATTGAGGTGGTGGTATATAATCTTGTAAATTTGTTTTTGTTTGAAACTTTTCGAAATAAAAATTTGGAGGAAAATAAATTATCACAAATAATAGGTTACATAATATTTACCTGTAAACTTATTCCAGTTTCTTCTTTGCTTTTTTCACTCAAAGTAGAAATAGTTGGACTTTCGCTTCCTTCTTCAAATGCAAGATTTCTGTTTGTCACAAGAGCATTTCTTTTCATGAAAATATACTATTTTGAAGTTGGTTAATACATATACTACAGACTTTGCCAAAAAAGCTAACAAAGGTGACTAGTAAGACATAATGAATAATTTGTACTTTAAAATATAATACCATTTAGGTCCAGAATGGAAAATAAATGCAAATGTTAGTTCTTTGAATGAGAGAATTAATTTTAATGACAGTCTCATATATGGGATGGCAATATACAAAAATATGCTTATTAATAGAGACAGGTCCACTTAAAAATAGAGCAGATGCCCCCCAATTCAGTTCCTAAATGTCCTGTCATTGCTTTTTACCTGAAATTGAACCTCATTAATATTCACAGGCACACAAATTAAAATCACACTAACATACCACTTAACACCTGATAAATGACAAAAATTAAAAACTAAGCTAACTGATAAGTGTTGAGAAGAAGCAGATCAGTAGGATACACCCAGACCCAGGATTATAAAACCTATACATGATAGTCAGAATTAGAACTCAGGTTTGTTTACTCCAAGGTCTTAGCTCTGAACCATGCATTTATACATAAGATATTCAGTCATATAAGTAATTTCATTTCTAAAATCATGCCAGGTACACACTATGAAAATAATAATCCAATGAATCAATAAATACTATTATAAGTTACAGTGCCTCTATTACTTAGCAACATAACCTTAGTCCAGCTTCTTATTTACTTTTTTACTCAAACCATTATTAGCTATACTTTGGCTCCCATCTTCAAATGTAAAGCTTCCTACTGATCCACTCCCTCACAAACTACATTCCTAACAGGTATGCAAATTGGCATAACCACTTTAAGGAACTATTTGGGACTACCTTATAATGTTGAAAATTTGCATAACCTGCAACCCAGTAATTCTACACTTCAATATACATCATCAACATGGGAATGGGTAAATGAATTGTGGCATATTCTCCCACTGGTTCATTAGGTGGCAGTGACAAATTAAAGAACTACAGTAACAAACAACATAGATAAATATTATGAAATACAGACTGAACAAACAAGTTGTAGGAATGGATACACAGAATTTCTCATAAAGCTCAAAAATAAGGAAAATGAAACTATATTTATAGGTTCAGATTCATATGACAAAAACATCATCCAAATCATCCAAAAGGATGATAAATATAAAATCCAAGAGAACATTTCCCTCTTGGAGGGAGCACAGAGGGATGACAGACATCACTGGTTGACATAATCGTACTGACAATACTCTATTTTGCTTTATAACCTTTGTATGTAGATATCACATCTATTTTCCTTATTGGCAAGTCATAGAGAAAAAATTTTGGCTTTTAGAGGAGAAATTTGGAAAATAGTGGAAAGCAGGAAACATAATATTAGAGGTTACAACTCTGTAAGTCCAAGGCTGTAATTCACCCAGGCCAAAAACAGCCTTGCCAGGATTTCCATCAGGTACTGCCTTAGGGATGAGGAATACTAAAATCCTGAAGGCCGGGAACTGACAACTGTGGTCTCAGCATTTGAGGGAGTTTTGATTTCTAAAAAATTATGAGCATTAATTTTGAAATTTTATTCTTTCTCAGGAGTAAATGAGGTAAAACTTGATATGTATTCCTGAATATCTACTATGAGGCATTTTGCTATTGAATAACTTAAATAGGAAATGAGAGCAATTCATTTTCTTGGCATGACAGTGTTTGTAAACTGTTGATTTTACCCGTACTTTCATGATCACTTTATTTTTCTAATTTTTTAAAATTTAAGTATAGTTGAGATACCATATTATATTGGTTTCAAGTATACAACATAGTGACTCAACATTATAAACTTTATTAATCCTCATCCCAACTAGGGTAGTTACTGTCAACATAGAAAAATCTTACAGAACCAATGACTCTAATTCCTTATTTTGTACTTTCTCACCCCAGTGACTAATTTATATTATGATTGAGATTTTGTGCTTCTTCATCCATTTCACTTATTTCACTCCTCCATCCCAATCCTGCCCCTGTGGTAACCACCAGTCATTTCTCAGTGTTTATAAATCTACTGCTGTTTTGTTCATTTTGTTTTGTTTTTAGATTCCACAAATACATGAAATCATATGGTTATTTGTCTTTCTCTGCCTGGCTTATTTCAGTTAACATAATACTCTGCTAGGCCTACCCAGGTTGTTACAAATGGCAGGATTTTTCTTTTTAATGGCTGAATAATAGTCCATCACATATATGGGCTTTGCTTGCTTCCATAACTTGGCTACTGTAAATGTAATGCAGCAGTAAATAAAGGGGTGCATGTATCTTTTCAAATCAGTGATTTTGTTTTCTTCAGGTAAATTTGTAGAGGTGGAGTTACTGGGTCATATAGTATTTCTATTTTCGTATTTTTGAACACTGGTGTGAGGTGATATCTCATTGTGGTTTTAATTTGCATTTCTCTGATGATTAGCGATGTGGATCATCTTTTCATGTGTCTGTTGGCCATCTGAATTTCTTCTTTGGAGAAGTGTCTGTTCAGCAACTCTGCCCATTTTTTAATCAGGTTATTTGCTTTTAGGTTGTTGAGACACATGAGCTCTTTATATATTTTGGATGTCAACCCCTTAATGGGTATGTCATTTATGAATATATTCTCCCATACTAGAGGATGCCTTTTGTTCTACTGATGGTGTCCTTTGCTATGCAGAAACATTTTACTTTGATATAGTCCCATTTGTTCATTTTTGCTATTGTTTCCCTTGCCTGGGGAGACATGTTCATGAAAAGTTGCTCATGTTTATATTTATATTCAAGAGAGTTTTGTCTATGTTTTCTTCTGAGAATTTTACAGTTTTATGACTTATATTCAGGTCTTTGATCCTTTTCGCGTTTACTTTTATGTATGGAGTTAGACAGTAATTCAGTTTTAATTTCTTACATGTAGTAGCTGTCTACTTTTGCCAACACCAGTTGTTGAAGAGGCTGTCATTTTCCCATTGTATATCCATGGCTCCTTTATTGTATAATAACTGACCATATATGCTTGGGTTAATACCTGGAGTCTCTAGTCTGTTCCATTGGTCTATGATCTGTTCTTTTGCCACTATCGAATTGTCTTGATTACTGCGGCTTTGTAGTAGAGCTTGAGGTTGGGGAGAGTAATTCCCCCTGCTTTATTCTTCCTTCTCAGAAGTGCCTTGGCTATTCGGGGTCTTTTGTGATTCCATATGGATTTTAGAACTATTTGTTCCAGGTCATTGAAGAATGCTGTCAGTATTCTGATAGGGATTGCACTGAATCTGTAGACTGCTTTAGGCACGATGGCCATTTTGACAATATTAATTCTTCCTATGGCAGAGCATGGGATGAATTTCCATTTATTAGGGTCCTTTAATTTCTCTCAAGAGTGTCTTGTAGTTTTCACTGTATAGGTCTTTCACTTCCTTGGTTAGGTTTATTCCTAGGTATTTTATTCTTTTTGATGCAATTGTGAATAGAATTGTTTTCCTGATTTCTGCTAATTCATCATTAATGTATAGGAATGCAACAGATTTCTGTGCATTAATTTTGTACCCTGTAGCTTTGCTGAATTCACTTATTCTAGTAGTTTTGGAGTGGATTCTTTAGGGATTTTTATGTACATTATCATGTCAACTGCAAACAGTGACATGAAAGTTTGACTTCTTCCTTACCAATCTAGATGCCTTTCATTTCTTTGTGTTGTCTGATTGCCATGGCTAGGGCCTCCAGTACTATGTTGAATAAAAGCGGGGAGAGTGAGCAACCTTGTTTCTCTGTCTTAGAGGAAAAGCTTTCAGCTTCTTGCTGTTAGGTATGATGCTGGCTGTGGGTTTTTCATATATGGCCTTTATTATGTTGAGGTACTTGCCCTCTAAACCCATTTTAATGAGAGTTTTTATCATGAATGGCTGTTGAATTTTGTCAAATGCTTTTTCAGCATTTATGGAAATGATGTGATTTTTGTCCTTCTTTTAATTGATATACAATGATGCTGATGGATTTTCAAATGCTGTACCATCCTTGCATCCCTGGGATGAATCCCACTGGATCACAATGTATGATCCTCTTGACGTTTTAAATTTGGTTTGCTAATATTTTGTTGAGTATTTTTGCGTCTATGTTCATCAGGGATATTGGTGTGTAGTTTTCTTTTTTTGCGGTGTCCCTCCCTGGTTTTGGTATTAGAGTTACACTGGCTTCAGAGAATGAGTTTGGAATTATTCCCTCTTCTATTTTTTGGAAAACTTTAAGGAGAATGGATATTAGGTCTTCTCTAAATGTCTGGTAAAATTCAGCAATGAAGCAATCTGGTCCCAGAATTTTGTTCTTGGGTGATTTTTTTATTAACAATTCTATTTCATTCCTGGTCATTGTTCTGTTCAGATTTTCTGTTTCTTCCTCGGTCAGTCTTGGAAGGTTGTATTTTTATATAAAGTTGTCCATTTCTTCTAGGTTATGCAGTTTGTTAACAATTTTTCATAATATTCTCTTAAAATTCTTTATATTTTGGTTGTGTCTATAGTGATTTTTCCTTTCTCATTTCTGATTCTGTTGATGTGTGTAGATTCTCTTTTTTTCTTGGTAAGTCTGGCTATGAGTTTACCTATTTTGTTTATTTTCTCAAAGAACCAGTTCTTGGTTTCATTAATTTTTTCTATTTTTTTATTCTTCTCAATTTTATTTATTTCTTCTCTGATCTTTATTATGCCCCTCCTTCTAACTTTCGACCTCATTTGTTTTTCTTACTCCAGTTTCAATAATTGTGAATTTAGGCTTCATTTGGGATTGTTCTTTCTTCTTGACATAGGTCTGGGTTGCTATATACTTTCCTCTTAGAACTGCCTTTGCTGTGTCCCACAGAAGTTGGAGCATTGTGGTGGTGTTGTTATGTTTCCATATATTGCTTGATCTCTGTTTTAATTTGGTCTTTGATCCACTGATTATTTAGGAGCTTGTTGTTAAGTCTTCATGTGCTTGTGAGCCTTTTTGTTTTCTTTGTACAATTTATTTCTACTTTTATACCTTTTTGATCTGAGAAGTTGGTTGCTACAATCTCAATCTTTTTGAATTTCCTGAGGCTCTTTTTGTGGCCTAGTATATTCTGAAAAATGTTCCATGTGCACTTGAGAACAGTGTGTATCCTGCTGCTTTTGGGTAGAGTATTCTGTAGATGTCTATTAGGTCCATCTGTTCTAATGTGTTTTTCAGTGCTTCTGTGTCCTTACTTATTTTCTGTCCAGTTGATCTGTCCTTTGGAGTGAGAGATGTGTTGAAGTTCCCTAAAATGAATGCATTGCATTCTATTTCCCCTTTCAATTCTGTTCGTATTTGTTTCACATATGTTGGTGCTCCTGTGTTGGGCGCATAGATGTTTATAATGTTTATATCCTCTTGTTGAATTGACCTGTTCCTCATTAGGTAGTGTCCTTGTCTGTTGTTACTTTCTTTGTTTTGAAGTCTATTTTGTCTGGTAGAAGTACTGAAATGCCCACTTTTTTTCCCCCTATTAGTTGCATTAAATTTATATTTCCATTTCTTCACTTTTAATCTGTGTATGTCTTTAGGTTTGAAGTGAATCTCTTGTAGGCAGCATATAGATGGGTCTTTCTTGCTTTTTTATCCATTCTGTAACTTTGTCATTTGATTGGTGCATTCAGTCCATTTACATTAATGGTTATTATTGATAGGTATATATGTATTACCATCACAGGCTTTGGATTCTTGGTTACCAAATGTTCAAGGGCAGCTTCTTTACTATCTAGCAGTCTACTTTAACTCAATTATTATGTTATTATAAACACAGTCTGAAGGTTGTTTTTTTTCTCCCTTTTTTATCTTTCTCCTCCACTCTTAATATTTTAAGTGTCATATTTTGTACTCTTTGTGAATCCCTTGACTGACTTTGTGGGTAGCTGATTTAATTTTGCAATTAGTATTTAGTTGGTTTACTTGCTTTGCTGTGGTTTTATTTTCTCTGGTGACAGCTATTTAGTGTTAGGCACACTTACATCTAGAGCAGTCCCTTTAAAATACACTGTAGAGATCATCTGTGGGAGGTAAATTCACTGATCTTTTGCTCTTCTGGGAATTTTTCAATCCCTCTTTCAAATTTGAATGGTAATCTTTCCAGGTAGAGTATTCTTGTTTCTAGGCCCTTCTGTTTCATTGCATTGAATATATCATGCCACTCCCTCTGGAGTGTAAGGTTTCTGTGAGAAGTCTGATGATAGCCTGATGGGTTTTCCTTTGTATGTGGTCATTTTTCTCTCTCTAGCTGCTTTTAATAGCCTGTCCTTATACTTGATCTTTGCCATTTTAATTATTATGTGTCTTGGTGTTGTTCTCCTTGGGTCCCTTGTGTTGAGAGATCTGTGGACTTCCACGGTCTGAGAGACTATTTCCTTTCCCAGATTCGGGAAGTTCTCAGCAATTATTTCTTCAGAGACACTTTCTATCCCTTTTTCTCTGTCTTCTTCTTCTGGTAACCCCATAATGCAAATATTGTTCTGTTTCGATTGTTCACACAGTTCTTTTAATATTATTTCATTCCTAGAGGTCCTTTTTTCTCTCTGCCTCAGTTTCTCTGTATTCCTGTTCTCTGATTTCTATTTCATTCACTGTCTCCTCTACCGCACCTAATCTGCTTTAAATTCCCTCCATTGTTTCATTTCTGTTATCTACCTCCTGTATTCATCCCTTAGCTCTTGAATATTTTTCTGCAGCTCCATCAGCATGCTTATGACTTTTATTTTGAATTCATTTTCGGTCTCACCGAGCCTTCTTTCTGGAGTTTGAGGGATTCTGGATTGAACAAGGTTCTTCTTCCTTTTCATAGTAGTAGAGCGATGGGAGTTGTCGTCGGCGAGTGGCGAGCATGTCAGCTGGGAGGACAAAGTCCCTTCGCACTTGCCAGTTCCCACGCCTGTCTCTGCTGTCTCTGCTGGGTAAACACGCACAGGGCACAGCCTCTCAGTTAATACCCTAAACTGCTGTGGGCAGGGTGGCCCTCAGGATGGCCTTGGGCAATGGCAGGGGTCACAGGTGAGCAGCGTAGATTCTGCCAGGATAACTAAGTCCCTTTGTGACTCCCAGTCTCAGTGCCCGTCTCCACTATCTGTGGTCAACTGCGTGCAGGGAGCAGCCTCTGGGGCAGGGCCGGTTAGCAGCACACAGGGAGAAGCCTCTGCATTAAGCTGTGTCAGGGCTGCCCTCCAGCTGATCTGCAGCAATGGCAGGGACAGCCGGTTTCCATGTAGATGCTGGTGGGGAGGAAGGAGAGGCAGGCTGCTTATCACAGTGAGGGGCCTCAGGGCTGCTTTGCCAACCAGGGTGATAGGGTGCCTGAGGCTCCTGAAAGTTCACAGCATGTTGGGTTGAGTGTGCCAGGACAATTTTGTCCACCTGTTCCTTCTAATAAACTCTTGTCCCTTTAGCAGCCCTCTCACTGTTGAGAGGTCTCTTAAAGTACCTGCTTTTCTTTTGTCCCAGGGCAGCTGGTTGTAGGAATCTGTTCACAGTCTTAGTGTCAGACCTTGCTTTTAAGCCCCTCTCATCTCCAGAGCACCATGCAATGTGGGTCTGTGCTCCCAGGGTAGATTTCTAGGGCTCGGTATTTAGCAGTCCTGGGCTTCCACTCCCTCTCCGCTCTGATTTTCTTCCTCTCACTGGTGAGCTGGGGTGGAGGAAGTGCTCGGGTCCCGCAGGGTTGTGTCTTTTTACTTTACCCTTTTCTGTGAGACCTTGACTTCTCCCAGATGTAGACTGGCTGGTGTAGTGTTACTTCTGGTCACTCTTTTAGGAATAGTTGTATTTGCTGTATTTTCAAAATTTTGTGGTTTTGGGAGGAGATTTCTGTCACACTACTCACGCTGCCATCTTTTCTGCTTCTCCATATTGTAGATTTTTAAAAACTTTTTTCTATTTAAAAGTAAAGGTAAATTCTAACCAGAGAGTAAGAAATCAGTCCAAGTCCATTAAGTTATTTGTTTGGATGAGAATTTAAATTCTGTTCCCTGGTTTTCCACCATCTGAAAATGACACTGCTTCCAGCTTAATGACAGTCCATAGTAGAAATTATAAGTAGCAAGCATGAGAAATATATCAACATAATACATCTTTGCTATTTCAATTCTGTAATATGAGTGATTCTGTGGTGGGAAAGTGAGACTAACTATAAAAACAAACACTAGGCTATTTCAAATGAATAAAGACTAGAGGAGGGTAGTTGGGATAATAATGTGTGTGTTTTACTCTTCAGCATTCTTGGCTTTTTATTTTTCACTATGACCTGGGACAATAATTTTACTAGATTCTTATGAGAGTTCTATCTCAGAGAGAAAGCAAATTAAAGTAGTAGAAATAAAGGCATATAACAAAGTAATTAAAATTATTTAGTCAAAGAAATGAGTTATATTACTTTATAATCAGTGAGAAAAATGGATCTTGAATAAGGAGGGATTACTGGTAAACCTAATTTAACTGAAATCAAGAAATCAGTCAACCATTTGACAATATTTACCAATTACTTATATTAAGTTCCCAAAGCTACCTGCCATGGGGGAATACAGAGAAAAATAACTATGGTCTCTGTCCTCCAGGAGTTTGCTCTCTGGGTAATTTTTACAATTCTTAGTAATAAATATTTCTACTTCAGAGCAGAATTACTTATCTCTTTTTAAAATATGTATTATGATTTCACTTTAAAAGACCAGACATTTTCATCTAAAATATCTTTTAAATGAGGGAAGTGGGAGTAAAACCAACCTTTAATATATACCTTTATTGAAACAATGTCAAGACCAAAGCTTCAAAGCTCCATTACCTTTTCTCTTGATCATCCATGCTTTTCTTATCTGCATAGATTTCTGCATAGAGCAATGCTGTAAAGTGAGCTGCACAAGACTGAGCTACCTTGGCAACTTCTAGGTAATTCAACTCCAGCCAGAAAGCATCATCATAAACTGTTCCTAAAGAAGGTCTAAGGAAAAATTAAATATAAAGTCATGTCAATATCAAAAGAAAAGTATGTTGATACAGTGGTAGCAAGTTCAAGTTAAAAAGAAAATTACATTCAGTATTCGCCATAAAAAAGAATGAAAAGCTGCCACTGACAGTAAAGATGGATCTAAAGGGTATTATACTAAGTGAAATAAGTCAGATAGAGAAAGACAAATGCCATGATTTCACTTACATGTGGTATCTAAACAAATAAAACAAAAGAACAAAGAAAACAGAAACAGACACATTAATACAGAGAACAAACTGGTGGCTGCCATAGGTAGGAGGGAGTGTGAAATGGATGAAGAGAATGAAGAGGTACAAACTCCCAATTATAAAATAAATAAATCACAGAAGACTATACAGCATAGGGAACGTAGTCAATAATACTGTAATAACTTTGTAGATGGTAACTACACTTACCACAGTAAACATTTTGTATTATATATAATTGTCAAGTTATCATGTTGTACATACACCTGAAATTAACATATTTTAGGTCAACTATACTTCAATTTAAAAAATTAAGAAGAAAACTACATTCAAATAACCAAAAAATGCATTTCTCCAATACATAGCCACAAACATTCTAAAATAACATGGCTGAAGAGCCCTATTTCTCACTTTCTGGAGCACAAACCCTTCAGTTTGATGAAAGCTATGCACTATCACCCCATACAAATCTGGGGTTCATACTTGCCCTCCACCAAGAGATTAATGGATTATAGTCGAAGAACAGACTGCAGAGAGAATAGCTAGATACAGATATCTTTTTAAATGAACAATTTAATGAAAAACATTGTCTCTTCTAAGACACTTATATATTTTGCCTATTTCTCCTTAATTTACACCTAAGTTGAGATATTTAATGAAAACCTTCCACTGTCTCAGAGAAGACAAATAGGGACTCTGTGGCATCTTATTACACTGATGGGCAGTGACTGCAATGGGTATGGGGAGGGACTCGATAATAAGAGTGAATGTAATAACTACATTGTTTTCTTGTGAAACCTTCATAAGAGTGTACATCAACGATACCTTAATAAAAAAAAAAAGAAAAAGAAAACCTTCCACTGTAATAGTAGGTCTGAATTGAATTGGAAGGGACCATAGATATTATTTATCTCTTTCAAAACTAACATAGAGATGTGTTAAGTTAGTGGTTAAGAACACTGGTTTTAGAAGAGGATACAGCTAGGTTCAAATCCAGCCAATCACCAACTACAAGCTGCATGATCTTCAGCAACTTTCTTTAATCTTCATTTTCCTCATTTATAAAACCTGGGAAAAATATATATCTAAGAGTAACTGCAATGATGAAATAATGCTTAAAAGCTGATGAACAAAGTGCCTACCACATAGCCAACACTTAATTGTAGCTATTCTGAGAAACCTGAAGTTTGGAGATCAGAAATCTTTTAAGTACCACACTTGGAGTTGCACTCAGACCCTTACCCTTCATTCTACATCCTTCATATTCTCTCAAGGATCTTCTTTAACATCTATGAAGAATGAAAACTGAATACAGAGAATTTTTATCTTCTCCAAGGCCTGCCAATATCATAACCATTCTACCTCAATGATAAATCTGAAGTGAATGATTCAAAGGTGAAACTGCCTCCCAACACCAAGAAAAGAGATGCTTCCACTGCTATAGTTAAAGCTTCTTAAGGGCTTTCTCAGAAGAGGATATGGTACAAAACAAGGAGAATCAGCAACTTTCCAACCACCTTAAAGGTCTAACATTTCTTTTCTAAGAATGGAGTGGGATGGTCATTGGGGGATACAGAGAAATTAATTTTTAACCTGTAAATGCATTTTAAGGACTTTTCATTTTTCTCCTTTCTCTCACTCCCATTCTTCTCCCATTCTTCATCAACCACTGCTACCACCATCGTATGTACTCGAGACATCAATTCCTACCTACCTACAGGCTTATTATTACGTTATTTCTTCAAAATTCTGCTCAACTCTGAAGCAGTACAGAACAGCCCAGTCTATAATTCCCACATTGTTAAAAATACCATGAGAAATAATAATAGGAACAAAATACTGTATTGTAGAACAATTTATCAGAATAAAAAAAATGAACACTGCCATAATCCAATATTACTACACAGACCATAGATTTTTGAGGACCATGGTACCCAGTAAAGAAATTTATATCTTAGAAAGTTCCTGACATTGACTGGCATCCAAGTGCCAACCTAAACATGGATTACTACAAGAAGGTCCATATTGAGGGCATCACACAAATTAAATAAAGCGCCCTGCAGCAGCACCACCCAAAGTAATGTCAAAGTTCAGCCAGCAATGACCAGCTACACTGCTAAATCCCCAAACTCAAGAAACGACATGCATTTCATTACCTCTTTTGTCTCCTCATGTAGTCCACAACAGCAAGCATTGTTCTTTGTGATTTTTTCCAGCATCGAAAGAAGGGCTCAGACTCTGACAAATAAAGAAAAAAAGATACCTCCTCAGTCCCAGCCAGGCAGATTTGCTTAAGCACTTTCTTCCTCCTGTTGGTGTGTCTGTCGCCCTCTGTACTCTAAGATTCCGCAGGGCAGTACACCTAGCACAAAACTGGTTCTCAAGAAATATGAATTTATAAGTGGAATTTAATGGTATTCCTTTAAAAAAAAAAGATTGTGCTTAATAAAACTGAGTATTTAATTGAATTTTTATTTATTTCTGAAAAGGACTAATTCATTGATGCAGTAAATATTTATCTAGGATCTTTCATGTGTTAGGCATTTAGTATCCAACCATAAGACTATTTCTAACCACATAAAACTAAATGACCTGCCTGACAGACAACACAGTGTGATGATAAGTGCTATGGTAAGGCAATTTTAGAATACCACAGATGCATACAGAAAAGAGACTTAATCAAGAACAAGAAAAGTTTCACAGCAAAAGTGGTATCTGAAAGAGGAGGAATAGTCCATCAGGAGAAGAGAAAGGAAAGTGTTCCAGCTAATAGTAACTCTGTCTGAGATGGTTGGAACAACAAAGAACTTGGAGAATTTACTGAAAGAATTTCAACTGTGCTGGACCACCGAGCTACAAAGCAGTAAGGATCCTGGAGGCAGAGAGAAATGGATGGACTGACATTAGTTATAACAGAATCAGCAGGATTTGATAATCACAGGAGACCTGTGGAGAGACGTTTTTGGCTTGGGTAACTGAATGCCATTCAATGAAGAGGTACACATTAAGAGAAGTAGGCCAAGAGAAGAGAATGAAAATGATAAGTTTACCTTCAGAAAGCTGAGTCTAAGATGCACATGAAACAATAAAGTGAAGGCAGTGACACTAACAGCAGAAAAGATACACCACTTAATTTGACGGAAATTTATGTCTACTTTATTTTTCAATAATAGAATTTCACATGTAAATTTAAATTTTCATTTAAGGCAATAAAAATATTGGTACTCTATACAAAAAACAAAACTGGCTGACTTGACCTTTCAATTGTAGCATAAATATGTATGTACAAATGATAAACATGAAAAAAATTTCTTGGCCATGTTCATAATGAACTGTCAGTATATTATAGGCAGTGATTATATTAAACTTGGTAATAAAGTTGTTCTTAATATTTCTTTAAATTACATAATATTTGAAGTTTAAATGTTTACTGGTAACTATGAATCACTTATACTGTTACTTCCCAAATTAAGGATAGGAAATACAGTCTGTCTAGTTTGCAAAATCTCTGAGAATTTTTCTTTTAGGAATTTCAATTCAATGATCTAAAGAAAATTCATATAAGCATATGAATCATTCACATTTACATGACCAACTTATAATCTAGTAGGACCACAGAATGGGCATCTGAATCTATGTTTATCATTATATTCTTTCAAATAGGTTGTAAATACTGTTAACCAATAGAAAAGTACGTAAAACAAAACAAAGTGAGGTCTAAATAACATCACAGTAATGTCAAATTAAGGTTTAGTAGTAAAAATAAAAGAACAATTAGTGGAATCACATAATCAGAACCTATGCCAAAGTGACTAGAATCATAGTTATGGATGGGAAGAGCAATTTAGTTGCAGCAAAATACCACCTGAAGTCAATACTTTTCTTAAAATTGTACTGGTTTTAGGAAAAGTAAGTCGAATTGTACCTAGTTTTGTGTTTGCAAATAAAATACATTAATAACATATGTTTAAGACAATAAGTTAACACAACAGATGTGGTAGTTTTTTCCTTTTTTTAAATTTAGGTTTGAAAAACTAACCCATAATGCACCCTCAACTATGCACCTATGTATTTTATGTACCCAATTTCTGGTATATATTTCTCCTGTTATAAGCTCTTAGCATGGGAAATACTATAATGTATGGAAGAAAAAAATAGGTTAAGAGAGTAATCTAATTTTTCCTGTTAAAAAACTGGAAGGATATATACCAAATGTTGACTATATATCCTAGATCATACTATTATGGTAATTTAATTTTAAATTTATGCTCATGTTTCTCTATTTTCTACAATAAATATTCTTTAATAAAAAAGGTGCTTTTAAAAAATGAATTGAAAAAAAAAATGAACTGACCAGAACTTTAATATGAAAATACCATCATATGTCCAGCCTCGTGACTATATTTGGTTACATTTGTCTGCTTTTTCCATTGCTAGAATGTAGTGTATCTTATTCACATCCATATTGCCAGTGACAAGTGTAGTGCTTGACACATACTGAATGCTTAATTAGCTGTTCCATTATTACTAAACAAAACTTACAAAGGGAGTACCACTCATCAAGTTTTATTCTAGGTGCTTTACATACATTATCTCATTAAAAACTTGCTACAACTTTTATCTCCTTCTACAAATGAGAACACATATTTAGAGGTTCTGGAATTAAGCCTATAGAGCATTTTGATGGGATTCAAACAAATCTATCTTTTTCTAGAACTGAGAAGTTACTAGTATAAATGCAAGAACTTTAACAGAATACCTGAATCCAAATTTGCAGGGATCGTGGATTGGCTCGTTTGTGAGATGTGTCTGAAACAGTTAGTGAAAAATCCCTGAATATGTGTAGAAAGTAGCTTTCTCCATGAGTCATTTGTATCTTGGAGTAAAATATCATGAATCAAGTATGGAAGCACAGTCTGACAAAAGTCACTTTTCACCTGGAATATACAAACACACCCAAGCAACAGTATTAGTAAAATATATTTTACTTAAAATTTTCATTGTTACTGACACTAAACTTCCAAAAAAATGACAGCTTTTTGCTCAAAATAGAAATATCATTTGACCCAGAAATTCCACTTCTAGGAAATTTACCCTAAGAGTACAGCAGCCCAGTTTGAAAAAGACAGATGCACCCCTATGTTTATCACAGCACTATTTACAATAGCCAAGAAATGGAAGCAACCTAAGTGTCCATCAATAGATGAATGGATAAAGCAGATGTGGTACATATACACAATGGAATATTATTCAGCCATAAGATGAAAACAAATTCTAC